CCACAAAACCATTCCCATGTGACCAGACAGGGCAGGATTCTGCCTGAGATCCGGTTGCCAGAGCGTTTCCTAGCTACTGTGTTTGCAGTCCTGCCAGGGTGGTGGTGGTGAGGGAACAGGCAAGGCGCGAGACATGAGAAAGAATTGTTCTTGGGAATGAGGAAGAAACACCCTGGAAGGGAAAAAGAGAGAGGCAACAATTGTAAATACTAGTCTGAAATTGCCGTCTCGTTACACCAGAGACTGGCCTAAGATTGAATTGGGTAGTTATACGTTTCGCATAATAATAATAATAATAATAATAATAATAATAATAAATTTATTATTTACACCCGCCCATCTGGCTGAGTTTCCCCAGCCACTCTGGGCGGCTTCCAATCAAGTGTTAAAAACAATACAGCATTAAATATTAAAAACTTCCCTAAACAGGGCTGCCTCCAGATGTCTTTTAAAGATAAGATAGCTGCTTATTTCCTTCACAACTGAAGGGAGGGCGTTCCACAGGGCGGGCACCACTACCGAGAAGGCCCTCTGTCTGGTTCCCTGTAACCTCACTTCTCGCAGTGAGGGAACCGCCAGAAGGCCCTCGGGTGCTGGACCTCAGTGTCCAGACTGAATGATGGGGGTGGAGACGCTCCTTCAGGTATGCAGGACCGAGGCCATTTAGGGCTTTAAAGGTCAGCACCAACACTTTGAATTGTGCCCAGAAACGTACTGGGAGACAGTGCAGATCTCTCAGGACCGGTGTTATGTGGTCTCGGCAGCCACTCCCAGTCACCAGTCTAGCTGCTGCATTCTGGATTAATTGCAGTTTCCAGGTCACCTTCAAAGGTAGCCCTACATAGAGAGCATTGCAGTAGTATATATAAAATGCCCAAGAATGGCAGTGGGTGGAATGAATAAGTACTTTTCCATCCTGGCAATAGGAAACAGCTGACCAAAGTTCAAGTTCGGGCTCAGTTCGAGGTGCTGCTAGCGGTGCACAGAGTCCTATGTGTCTTGGGGCCAGGATTCCTAAAATATCACATCTTCCATACCCAACTGCCCCCTCTGTTGTGTAGGAGAAGGCCTCTAGTGTACGCCATCTCATCAGGAGGTCTGTTCTGTTACCACGTAAGAATTAGGTGCCGTCGCACGCAAAGCCCATCAACAGCCATGGTGATTGTATGAGGCAGTACGATTCTGAATACAGTGGTACGTCTGGTTGCAAACGGGATCCGTTCCGGAGGCCCATTCGCAACATGAAAAGAGCACAACCTGCAGCAGCGCATCTGTGCACGCGCGGGTTGCGACTCACCGCTTCTGCGCATGACATCATTTTGCACGTCTGCACATGCACGAGCAGCAAAACCCGGAAGTAACCCTTTCCAGTACTTCCGGGTCGCCGCAGGACATGACCTGAAAGAACGTAACATGAAGCGGATGTAACATGAGGTATGACTGTACCAGGTGCTGGAAGCTGCAAAGGGGAGAACGGCGTCATTCCACAGCTCCCCCCTGCCAGGCAAGGCCAAAGAGAAGGAATGATGGAATAAAAATGCATGCGTCCAAATGAAATAAAACAAGCAATATTCTCTCGCCATCCCGCAAGTTACCTATGACGATTGTTATCGTCGGAAGAGGATCTGATTCCGCAAGAGCAAGAGTAGAAGGCAAAAAGCCTTGACCGTCTCCTTTTCTGTAGCACCTCCAAACACGGAGGGGGATGATTTCGACTCTTTAACAATAACGTACCCCAGTATGCTCTTCGTGAAACAATGAGTGGACCAAAACGAAGCTATGGTCTAAAATTCACACTCCTCTGAATTTTGCAAGAGGTTGCTGAAGCTAAGCCGGTCTGAATCCGGTCAGTGTCTCGATGAGAGCGCCCTGCGAATTTTACACGTCCTGCTTTTGAGTTCCGTGATGGGAAGAAAGGTGGATATTCAGTGCAATGGACAGATATTTTAGAGACAGCTGTTTTCCCCACCTTCTTGGCGAATTTGTGAAACCTACTCTCCCCTCCTCCTCTCGTGACTGATGGGGTGATGGCTGTTCCCCAAATAAAAGTTTTTTAAAAAGAGCAGGTGAATTTTAATCTTGAGGAGCTTGAAGACATTTCCGCAGCTGGAAAGACTAGCTCAAGTCTTCCACCCAGTGGACTGAAAAAAGCCCTGCATGAACTTAAGAAGTCCCAGCCAATCCCAGCCTCTCAATAGAGCAGAGCCTTTTTCGAACTTTTAAAGGCAAAAAAATCGCCAGATTACAGATAGTGCAGAATTTATTCCTACTCCAGTGTGACATGTCAATAGCTGCACATTCAGGAAGATCCTTTCAAAAATAAAATCATTTTTTAAAAAAGACTAGTTTTTAAAATGTTTGCCTTTAATTGGAAAGTTAAATGAGAAAATGGGGAAATAGCCAGACTTGCATAAAGCACGATACCAATATTGTTTTGGGCACTTTTTAATCATGTCTATAATTTCTCCAGAGTTCACCTTCTTCCCTTTTGGAACAACTTTTTTAACATTTCCTAAATCTAAACAAATATTTTGAAGTATTTAGACACAGTTTTCCTAAAACACCTAACTTAAATTAAGCTGATTTTGGGGGGGGGGGGAGCATTTTTTAAAATAAAAAAAAGTCGGAAAGCAATACTGGAGCAATGGAAAAATCACTGGCTCATTCAGCAGAATTCAGAAGCTAGTATGTTGCAAAGTTCATAGTAGTGGTGCAGATGGCAAGCAATGGGAATTAAATTTAAATTGGGAAATAAGAGGGGTTTTTTGGTGGTTTTTTTTAAAGAATAGTTTTCCCTTCCATCCCCCAAGGTACATGCACAAGTATATGAACTGTTTAAAAAACCTTTTATTTGAAATAGTCAAGAAATCATTAAGTTCCCTCCCTGACAACACTCTGCCCCCTTTCCCTGGGAACACTCGCAAGGTAGTAAGTTTCTCAAATACTGCGGAATTGTTCCAACACATGAAAAAAGTGTAAATAAGTTCTTTTATTATATTAACAAACAGTTCACCCTTTTGCGTTTTCTCCCTTTCAGAAATGCCCAGCGACCCATTTTTAACAACAAAGTAGAAAAAATAGCCTTTTGTGTGTGTGCATAGGTAGCCGATAAGATTTCAAGCAATGCTCCAACCCAAACTGCCCTTCTATCTACTCAAAAGTGGGATTGTAGCACCTTTGAAATCAGAGGCAAAAACATTTGTTTTACCGCAGGGCAGTGCGGTTCTGTTTTGTTTTTTTAACTAATAGATCTATAGCACATTTTGTGGGCTGGAAAAATATATAGACTGCAGGTGTTTTACAAGTCCCAAAACTTTCTCAACTCTGCAATACAAGCCAGGACTCTTTGATATGCAATTGCTCCCAAATCATCCTGATTCGTAATGATGCAAAGACAGAGATTGCACAGACTAGACATTAGAAGAGTTTGGGGAGTAAAATCTCTGCTTGGTTTTTCTTTTTAAAATGACAATGGCCAAACCAAAAGGAACAGAACCACCCAAGCCATCCAAAGTAGCAGTTCCAATATGTATTTCTTGAAGTAGTCCTTTCAAATCTCTACACATCTCTCTCTCTTTGCCCTCCATTCAACTTTAAGAAGAAGAAAAATCCATACTTCCATCAGTTTCTGCTCTCTTCCTCTCTCCTCAGTGGAAGTGAGAAACATCAGTAGATTTATCAAGTGAGAGGGAAGGTTGGATGGCCCCTCACACTTCCTGTGTATGCATTGTGAAGGGAAAAGAGCTCTACTGAGCCTATGGGTACCGTTAAATGCAGAGACTGTACCTATAGGATGGTCCATGCCCATTTTATTCTTACCCACCCAGAACCCCAACATACAACCAGCAACAGAGCTTCAGCGTCATGCCTGAGTGACTGACAGAAATTTAGTTTAAAATTCTGCATCATTGATATGTTCCTTTAGTATAATTGTCTGTACCAGGGCATTAATGTCAGTCACACGGCAATTTAAGGAATTGTTTGTTCTCGTGGCCTTATGAAATAGATCTCTCCCAGTTTGGTTAAGCTGCGGTTTGCAAATGGGCGCTAAAAATATAAACTTCATATAAACCGGAAGATATGTCAAGTCTGGACTTTCAATATTGTAATATTCAGTGAGGTCTACGTCTAGGGACACCCCACCCCCCGCCATCAATAAATGTAGACTGTAACAGTAGTTTCTGGTTTTTTGGTATTTGGCAATCATACTCGGCTCTCTCTTCAGATCGTATTCAGCAACCATTCCGACAAGGGATCAACAAGTTTTGGCCAAGCTGTAAAGTGGTCCGGACGTGATGCGAGAGTGGACAGTGGAGAGTGCAAAGACCGACCTCAGGACTGCGTATTATGGAGAGTATTCCTCCATAATATTTCTCCATTTCGCCTCACACGATGGGTTCAAAATAACGGCCCAGACAATTTTATGGTGCACTAAAGCAGGTTGCTGTGGGTTAAACCACAGAGCCTAGGGCTTGCCGATCAGAAGGTTGGCGGTTCGAATCCCTGCGACGGAGTGAGCTCCCGTTGCTCAGTCCCAGCTCCTGCCAACCTAGCAGTTTGAAAGCACACCAGCAGTGCAAGTAGATAAATAGGTACAGCTCTAGCAAGAAGGTAAACGGCGTTTCCGTGCGCTGCTCTGGTTCGCCAGAAGAGGCTCAGTCATGCTGGCCACATGACCTGGAAGCTGTACGCCGGCTCCCTCGGCCAATAAAGCGAGATGAGCGCCACAATCCCAGAGTTGGCCACGACTGGACCTAATGGTCAGGGGTCCCTTTACCTTTAAAGCAGGTTTCAGCTGATTTTTCTTCAGAGGCTCTTAAACATGTACTGACTTCTGCAATGCACAAGAACACTGGACAATGGATCTGAGCTATTTACCTGTCAAACGGTCCTGATTTCACCCGCCCCCGAGGTTCCTTGAATTCCTGAGTCATTTGGCAGAGCGAGATCTTGGCACACAGAACCTACCGATGCTACGACAAATGCATTCGCCCATAAGGAGTCACATGGCTTTATAATAAACCGCTATTTATTTATTTATTTCAAGAATTTAGCAGATTTTTAAATTTCCCAGAGTTATTTTCAGCATGTTTCAATAGAGTTGGGGGGAGGAGGGTGGGGAGAGGCGAGAAACCAGAAAGAGAAGTTCCATTGTCTATTGCATGTGGATTCCACAATGTTACAAGACACTTTTAATATCGACATTCATTCACAGACATTTAAGGCAACTGGTTAAAGAGATAAAATCGACGATTTCCCCGCCCCCTTCCTTTTATAAAAAAGTGAACATCGAATGAAAATGGCCTGCGTTATGTACAAACAGATCACGTAAAACTTGTCAGAAGGTCACGTCGTGCTAGAAAGGGCGGGACAAAGGACAAGCGATGGTTGGAAGATCGCGAAGCTTCATGGGGGCGAGAATAACCACCCGCGGTTGACTTCTCCTTCGTTCCAACCATTCTCCGTCATCCCTGCCCTTGCTACAACCTGAATACTTTTCCCTGCAGACTCTACTCGAGGCTCAGGAGGCCAGAAGCACAGTGGAAAAATACTGCTCAGAGAACACGCTTTGGCAGTAACAACCGCTTTTCATTATTCTGCATTCAAATACAAAAATTAAAGAACACTTTGATTGAAGGTAAGCTTTAAATGGACTAGCCAGAATCCATACTTTAAAAAAAAAAATCAAAACGAAAAAGAAAAATAACCCCTAGGTTTTCTCTTACGTTGCCAGGTTTCCTGGCGGACAAAACATACGGTACTCAGTTAAATAACCTCTGGTGGGCAAGCAAGGGGTGGAAAGGTGGGCGGTAATTTTGGGACAAGTGGAATTGTAAGAGGCTCTGCGAACACCGTGCGAAATTATACTATGGAGTGACAATTCTGTTTTCTGCTGTGCCTGTGATAACCTATTTCATGCCCATGGAGGCTGGCTTTTCTTACGTATAAATGTGTTAAAAGCTGCTTCTTCGATGTTTTTAGTGTAAATAGTGTAAATCCTATTTTTGGCTCCTACTGGCCATTACCCAGGTAAAGGCAGGTAGAGACAAGCTGTTTCTGCACCTGACAGTTTACTGGGCTAAGCACCAAAGAGGGTTTTTCTCCCCTCTTTTTTCCTTTTGGACAATTCCTGTCCAGTATGGCTAATCTGAGCAACTATAGATTTCAAGTTGGTGCAAAGGGAAAAAAAGTGGCCTCAGATATTGATCGGGAAGGAAAAGAGCAGAGAGGCAAATCATCAAAATGGGATTGTGCTGCTAGGTTTGTCGTCTTTGGAGCTTCAAGTGGTGTGTGTGTGTGTGTGTGTGTGTGAGAGAGAGAGAGAGAGAGAGAGAGAGAGAGAGATGAGAGTATGAAAGATAGAATCCTTTGCTATTAAAAAAATTATCTCTCTGTGGATAAGACTGACATTCTTTACATGAACAAATTAGGGGCAGGGGCAATAGAAAATGCAAGAAGCATAAAAGCCCAAGCTATGGAGAACACTTTGAGAGTCTTAACACAAATACTCCAATTTCAAACAACTGGGTAACTCCAACATGTACGTGATATAGGTAACCTCAGTTCTGTTAGTCTGAGTTTTTCTGCAAAGGGATGATAATCTGAAATCTCATCTAGCAAGTGGGGAAAATAAAATGAAATGAAATAGAGGAAGGTCGCGGTAAGCAAAGAATTGTCATTTTTGTAATTCTCAAAGCAGGGAAAGTGAGTTTTAAAAAATCCCACAATGAAGCACATGAGAACACAACCCCAGTTTGAAAGAGTTTTGCAGGACACGTTTGATTTAGCTAGCCTATATAGCTCAGTCACTAGAGCATGAGACTCATAATCTCAGGGTTGTGGGCCTCAGATTGGGCAAAGGATTCCTACATTGCAGGTGGTTGGACTAGACAATCCTCATGGTCCCTTCCAACTCTACAATTCTATGATTCTATGATATATAATACTGTTTGATACACAAAGCTAGCACTTCATTTGTTGCCCATGTTTTGCAGCTTACAGAAAAAGGTTTTCAGTAGCACAGGCACAGTGGCGAAGAACAGTATAACAGCCAGGGTTCAGCTCTGTTTGGTGAACCTTCAGTAGCAGCAGTTAAGAAAAACAAAATATACAGGGCACAAAAAAAGGGGGGGGAACTGTCTCCTACACACTAACACCCCATTGTGACAGGAATGGGAGTTGTGCTCTTGTGTGATCTCCTGCACTCCTTTCACTTGGGGGGGGCTTGGGCCCACGCTTCTTAACAGCTCAATTTGCATCTTTCGGTAAGGAAGGAATTCAAGCTTAATAAATAAACCCCCATTTGTCGTCGATGCTTATCGGTAGCTCACCGCTAACAGCATCTGAAACACCTGGCAGTTGTGCGTTAGCAAAGACAGTACAAGACCCTCTCTCTTTCCCCACCTCTTGAAGGTGCTGAAGAACTCCTTGCCACTGTGTGTTTATCCCATTCCGTTTTGTCGTATGCAGTCAAAAAATGCAGAGATACCCTAAGCTATGTGCAAAACATGACTCAAATTAGTAAGACAGTTGCGTCACCAACCTATATATAACCCAGATGACTTTTTCCTCGTATAGATTCCTGAACCTTTTCAAACGTGACACAAGCGCAGCAAATGCAACCCCAATGTCACCATCTTGTAGGCAGGACCTCTTTCAATTTTTGCCTTCGTCTCCATATATTACAGTGCTCTATAAAAAGATTTCCAACTTTCTCTCTTCTTCTTAAAGCATTTAAACAATACAAGACTAAAAGATGCCTGGAAATACGCCTTAATACAAAAATGTCTCTTTTTTTAAAATCTGAAAACAACATTCAAAAAGGCACTTCATCGTGGAAGAAAGACAAGTTCAGAGTCAGGTCAACTGCTCTTATAAGCAGGGCGGGGGTGGGAAAAATGGTCTGCATAGCAGGAGGGCTTGGGTGGGGGGAAAGGGTCCAGTCGACTTGCTGAAACATCAAGCTTTCAATATATATATATTTTTGGCATGTTTTTAAGAAAAAAAGTGGATCCTGTAAATTGTGTCCATTTATGAAATTCATTAAAACAGTCCCCATTCAAAATGGCTTCTTTTTAATTTTCTTCCTCTCCAAGTAGTCTCGTCGCTTTTACGGCATCAATATTCCCATGATTTAAGTCGCATCAATTCATGATTGTCCTTCATGCACAGCAAGTTAAGAGGGAGATCAAGAGCATCGTGACTCTTGACAACTCGAGCTGCCTCTGAGGTGCTGCGCTGGGATTGGCTGTCCTGGAGCGGCTACGGTCAAGCAGAGGCGTGGCCTTGCAAGGCTACCTGTTGCAGAGTTTATGGAGCATAGTGTAGACTTCCTCCTCTTTGCTTAGTCCTTCGAAGAAAGGAATGAGGTCTAACAATTCCGTGTCTGTCATGTCATCAAACCACGACTGCACAGGCACCTGAAACAAACAAACAAACAAACAAACAAACAAACAAACAAACAGTGTCATGTTAAACACGTTCGTTGAAAACAAATCAGCTACCCTCATCCCCAAAGGAAGTGTCTTGCATGAAACCTTAATTCAAGGCATTTTATATACGGCATAAAGGTAAAGGTACCCCTGACCATTAGGTCCAGTCGTGGACGACTCTGGGGTTGCGAGCTCATCTCGCTCTATAGGCCAAGGGAGCTGGCGTTTGTCCACAGACAGCTTCTGGGTCATGTAGCCAGCATGACTAAGCTGCTTCTGGTGAACCAGAGCAGCGCATGGGAACGCCATTTACCTTCCAGTCGCAGCAGTCCCTATTTATCTACTTGCATTTTGACGTGATTTCAAACTGCTAGGTTGGCAGGAGCAGGGACCGAGCAACGGGAGCTCACCCCGTCGTGGGGATTCGAACCGCCGACCTTCTGATTGGAAAGTCCTAGGCTCTGTGGTTTAGACCACGGCGCCACCCGCGTCCCATATACGGCATAATGGTTAGAATAATTGTGCAGAGAATAAACTGGGTACAAAATCCATCATAAAATGGGACTTAAACCAAAACACTACTTTAAGATGCCTGCTGAAATAATAGAAGTCTTTGTCATGTGCCTGAAACTCATCAAAATCTGTGTGCCAGTCTGTTTAATCTGAGTTGGAGGGGGTTCCACGGGCTTCACCAAACACATGTCCACTAGTAGTCATGAACTGTGCATTTGAGCCACAGGGTAGCTGGGTGGGGGGACAGAGACCATCATCACAGACTCCCCAGACTCTATGAGATCAGGCAGGGATATATAATTCAGTGGGTAAAGAACTCTTACTGGCCACATCAGCATGTCAGTGACTGGTAGGACGCTGATGATTGTGCACCAGGGTAAGGGGAGATGGAGTCTGACTCGGGCAGGGGGGCAGTAGTCTGTGGGAACCTGTACCAGCCAGGAAGGATCATAGGCAGGGGAAGCTTCAGATCTGGAGGAAGAGGCAGGCCAGGCTAGTGAAGGGCCAGGTGCTTCCCCACCCTCCTCTGTACCACTCTCTCCCAGAAGCAGTAGAGAACTGAAGTGGGAAGAGCAGCAGCAGCTTCCGTTCCAGCATAGTCTCTGGCTACGTCAGGGGGAGGTACATAAACGGATGGAGGGGGAGTGGTCCCCAGTTGCTGCAACTGCTCCATAGAGCACGGAGCTGGGAACAACTGCCTGGGGGCTAGACAGGTGCGCGCAGGTCTCCAGAGCTGAGGAAGCAACAGTGTTATCGTTGACAATGAAGAGTTAAGTCTCTGCTGTGTGCACTCCTCTGGCTGCGAAGCTCCCTTGGCAAATGCTAAGCCAAACTGGAGCACTGGATGAGTGCGCTGGCTCCCAGGGAAGAGATTGCAGTCGCTTTGCTGATCCACAGGCATTATGGGACCATGTGGTGTAGCAGCAATGCTGAGGTTTGCCAACAGGTCATGGTTAAGGAGAAGAGACCTGAAGAACCACGATCCCAGGTTTCGACAACCCACTAAGCCACGTAGTAGTAACATCAGTATTGCCCCACATCCATGGAGGAGCAAAGCGGCTATGAGCTTTTCACCGGCTTGTTTGTGCTGTCGCAGTAAGCTATACTCCGAGTTCACGCTAACATGCCAACCCGGCCATTGTAAAATCGCATACCAATACAAACTCGATTATCTCTGGTGCTTCTGCAGGTGGCTCTGTACTGCTAATTCTCTCCGACATATACAGATAACTGTAAGGTTGTGAAAAGCTGTTGTCCTCCCTCTCCCTCTCTGTCACTTTCAGAGTTCATTCACAGCTCCACAAAAACAAACATTTGGTATCATTCAGATTCTCCCCCCCCCCCCGGTTGAACATTTGGTACCTTATGTAAGATAACGTCTAGCTGCTCTAAAATTAAACAACCAATGAAGAATTTGAAAATACCAGCTTTCAAATGGTCTCGAAGAGCTGAACAGTTGGAAGAGTAAAAAACGTGTAATATCGTTAAGAACTGTTCCTTCGACTCTCAAGCTTTCCCCAATTTTAAGGGGGTGAGTAAACAGGAGCCCCTAAAATCCAGGTGCCTAGATGCCATCAGGCTAAAAAAAAAGGGGGGGGCTCGGCAGCTCTGAAATAGGCTGCTGAAAAGAGCCACAGCTTCTTCTCTTGCTGCCTCTCCCTATTCCCATTCCCTTCCAGGATTCCTTAAACTATGGCAGAGCTTTGGAGCAACTTAATTATAGTGCAAGGTAGCAGAAAATAATAAAATAATGTGGCCATGATCCTCTGCATAAGCAAGGCAGGGAGGACAGGGAGAGGAGAATACCCAGCGAGAGAAGAATCCTCTCTCCTTACTGGCACACTGCGGAGTAATAATCCTTGTATCCTTGATTTAAATTCACCACGAACTCATGCAGATGGTGGTTTGGATATCTGGGATTAATGAGGAGGCGGCTGCTCTCCTCGCAAGCCCTCTGGGGTGGGTGTAGCCAAAAGCGGGTGCGGCCACCCCAAATATGCAGGCCTCTCAAATCTGTGCGGATCAACTGGTGTCTGTTGAGGGGGTTGTCACCACTTTTCCACTCAAAAGAAAATGGGGAGAGTGTTGCTGTGCTCAGGCCCTGTTTTGGGGTTTCCTGCACAGCATCTGGTTGGCTACGGTGAGAAGAGGATGCTGGACTAGGTATTCCTTTGACCTGACACAGCGGGCCCTTAAGCATCCCCACTGGGCACTGGGTTTTGTTCTTCCCAGCACTATTAAATTATAAAATTTCATTTTGTTTTCACTACCAAAATCAACTGGCCTAAAATGCTCCCAGTGCTTTATATATACAGGGTGCTCTCTCTCTCTCTCTCTCTCTCTCTCTCTCTCTCTGTGTGTGTGTGTGTACGTACACCCTCCCCCCAGGTTGTCTGCTCTGAAGATCCAGGAGAAAGAAAAAACCCTACTTTCCTGGTTAACACCTTGGCATCTTTCAAGCAAGCCCAGGAACAGAATGCAATGAGTTTCTGACACAAACAAAAGAGTTGCCCATCTCTTGCCTCTTAACACCTAAGCCAGGGGTCAGCAAACTTTTTCAACAGGGGGTCGGTCCATTGTCTCTCAGACCTTGTGGGGGGCCGGAGCATTTTTTTTGGGGGGGGGATGAACGAATTCCTACGCCCCCCACAAATAACCCAGAGATGCATTTTAAATAAAAGGACACATTCTACTCATGTAAAAACATGCTGATTCCTGCACCGTCTGCGGGCCGGATTGAGAAGGCGATTGTGCCAGATCCGCCCCCCGGGCCTTAGTTTGCCTACCCATGACTTAAGCATTTTGTAGCATTTGCTCCTCAGGCGTTGATGCTGTTGCCCTGCTCCATTTTACAGTAGCGAGAGCAAGCACTTGTGGATCTTAGCAAGCAGCAAATGCCTGAATAAACAAACCCAGAGACAAAAGAATTGACTCCCGTCTATTGCAAAGTGCTAGTACTTACTGCATTTTCAGGGTGGAAGATGTAAGACGCAGGGGAGTTGTCCACTATAATAACTTTGCTCAGCTCCCGCCCAAGCCGGCTTAGATCCTTCACGTAATTCCCTCTGTGGAAAACGCAGGATTCTCTGAAGAGCCGAGCTCTGAAGACGCCCCAGCGATCCAGCAAGTCGGCCACGGGGTCTGCATACTTTGATTAAAGGAAGGAAGCGGGAGAAGAGGAGGACACACGGTGAAGACATATGTAACCCTGTGAAAACCAAGCAACTCTTTTCGACGTAGATGTTGAATGAGACAGAAGGAAGAAGGGGAGACATGGCTTTGATAAGACTCTTGTCAGATGCCTGTGACATGAAGGTGCAACAGGAATGGGGAGCACTTCTGACCCCCCCTCTCCGTGAAGAGGGTTTGTGGTGCTCTGCACATGAGCCAAATAGCTTCCTCCAGAGTAAACCTTCACAAAAGGTGCTGTGGATATCCTTTAACCCTCCCTCAACAGAAGGGCGAGTGACTGCCCCAATCTTTCAACACACACACACACACACACACACACACACACACACACAGGGACACCTTTGTTCTATGTGTTAACAATCATTTAATATACTTTTAATGTCTCAACACAGAAAGGGCAGTCAAAGGCAAGGTGCACAAAGCATCTGCGACAGGCAAGTTATTTAAAAATTTACTTCTGAGAGATAGTATACGGTAGGCCCATTTAAAAACATCCCCAAGGGCCACGTTAGATTACGAAAGAGGCTCTGAGGCGAAAGAAAACACTCCCGACTCCATCCTTAAGGCTAAAGTTCACCAAATGGCTTTGTGTAAGGATTCCCACAGGGGAATACAGAGGGAAATAAGCTGCACAAATTGAAAGTGTGCCGAGGATCTTTCAGGAGAACCGTGAAGGAGGAGGACAGAGGAGCTGCCCGCATGCTTTTCTCCAGTGAAACGGCAGGGCGGAATAGCCAAGAGCTGCCCATGCCGCCAGCTTCGCTTCCAATTCAAGGTGCTCCCATTAAGTGTTCAGAGCAATAAGCAACTCAGGCCCCAAATTCCTGAAAGTCACCCCCCTGGTCCTTCGCTGCAGCCTCCTTGGATATTAAGATTGGCTGAGGGGGCCCTATTGGTTGTTCCACTGCCCTCAGAAGCTCGGGAGCGGGGCCCGATCCAGGAAGAGGCCATTCTCTGCTGCAACCCCTAAGCACTCCTTCCCTGCAGAGATGTGTAAGGTATCTTCAATACACAGCTTTGGGCAATCGCTGAAGACACGCCTCTGTATCTTGGCTTCTGAAACCTGAGAGGCATATTTTTAGGACCCACCTGATTCCTGGGATTGTAAATTGTTTCAAACCACTTTTAACATTATACCTGAAGGAGCCCAGTATACCTGAAGGAGCGTCTCCACCCCCATCATTCTGCCCGGATGCTGAGGTTCAGCGCCGAGAGCCTTCTGGCGGTTCCCTCACTGCGAGAAGCAAAGCTACAGGGAACCAGGCAGAGGGCCTTCTCGGTGGTGGCGCCTGCCCTGTGGAATGCCTTCCCATCAGATGTCACAAGAGATAAACTACCTGACATTTAGAAGACATCTGAAGGCAGCCCTGTTCAGGGAAGTTTTTAATGTGTGACATTTTAATGTATTTTTAATCTTTGTTGGAAGCCGCCCAGAGTGGCTGGGGAAACCCAGCCAAATGGGCGGGGTACAAATAAATTATTATTATTATTATTATTAATCCTGGTCACTGTCTCTTCGAGCTTTTGCCGTCGGGACAGAGATACAGGACGATGAAGACAAGAACGAAACGTCTTAAGAACAGCTTCTTCTCCAGAGCGATCTCGGCCCTGAATGGGAAGCCCGGACTTTGAAAGTCATCTAATCTCCCTTGCTGTATTATACTGTATTGTTTAATTAGTGTTTTTATGGAGCAGTCAAGTAATTTCGTTGTCCCCGAAGGGGGCAATGACAATAAAGATATTATTATTATTATTATTATTATTATTATTATTATTATTATTAATTGTCATATCCTGCCCTGGGACCTTTGGTAAACAATGATGATGATAAAGGTGATGTTCTCTCGAGTCCAGGTTGCTTCTGGTTAAAAGGGACTCAGGGAGAATATATCTGTCTTTTGAGAGCCACTGCTGGTTCATGGAGGAGAGGGCTATCGATGGCTACTAGCCATGATGGCTATGCTCTGCTTCCACAGTTAGAGGCAGCAATGCTTGCTGGAAATCACAGGAGGGGAAAGGGCTCTTGTGCTCGGGTCCTGCATGAGAACAGGATGCTGGACCAGGTGGGCCATTGGCCTGATCCAGCAGTGCCCATCCTGTGGCCTTATGTTCAGAAGAGACCATATTGACCCAGATAGTCCAACTCAGGGGAAAAGCAGCTCATCTCTTTTATGTAACTGCACATTAAATTTGCAGTAGCCCAGCAGGTTTCAACAGCTGCACTGCTCAGTTTCTAAAACAGCCGCGAAGCATGAAGGTGTGGTGGGGAGCTGCTATTTTCAAGGAAAGCAAGGCTAACAACCCCCCCCCCCCGATTTTGTGGAACAACTTTCACTGGTTCTTGGGATCCTGGCCACCGACTCTCTCTTCTCAGCTAAAATGCTGCCCAACAAGTCTAGCAAATTATTCGACAAACAGTGTCACAGGGTTCAGTACAGCCACAATATCCATTCTAAGCTACTTCGTACCAAGTCTGGTTCCAAAGACAAAGGCGAGAGAAGCCAACTTGGCCTGGGGATCCTGGTGTGGCTTCTCCAAGGCGCCATATGCAGAAGTTGGTGGCATGAGCAGGAAATGGACCCTCAAAAAGTTCACAGGAAGAGGTGGGGAAAAGTCATTGCACAGATATCAAATATACTTTGCGCTACCGGTGCATGAAGGAGTAGTGTCTTATTGTGGTCTTCCTTAAAATGTACCTTATCACATGGGGATACAGACTAGGGCCGAGGCAGGCCAAAATTAAAACAACGCACTGCAAACCCTACACTCAACTTTTATATCATCTCTCAACCAAACCTACTACCTCGCAGGGTTGTTGTGAGGATAAAATATGGAGGTGGAAAAGGGGAAACCATTTATACTATTTTGAGCTCTTTGGAGGAAAGGTGGGATATAAATGTAATTTTTTTTAAAAAAGAAAACTCCTATTTTGCTTCATCAGGTGGAATTTCAGGAGCAGAAACCTGTTTTCATTGCTGAACTGAAGAACAACAGCCTGAGCTACAAGAGGCTCTGGTGATTTTGAGTGGAAAGTATGAATTTGTCCCTATTTTGGTCCAGCACAAGAGACAACCCAGAAACTTCTGAAAGTATATTGGTGAAGTCTGTTTGAACATTACTAGGAGTGAGGCAGACGGTCAAAGCTGCCCAAGTGATGAAGGAAGGAAGGAGTCTATGTGCTGCTGTCCTGGGTTCAAGGTTCTTGGGGTGAGAGCAGAGGCTCTCTTGTAGCAAGGACAGTTCATAGCTAATCTGAACTGTATGTTGGATTTGCACCACTGGACTCAGATAGATGAGGCACCAAGAGGAGAGAAAGCTTGGGGCTTTCCAAACAATTCATAAACACTGTAGGGAGACTATATGTTAGTGATTATAGTATGCTATAACAGACTATAAATACTATAAATAATACTTCATCAGTGCAAAGTCTACAAATTACTGAAAAGCAACAATCTAATTTGAGGCTAAGAGTTGTGCAGAATGCTGATTCCTTGGTCAACAGAAATCCTAACACCAGGCCCACAAAATTCACGCTCCGTAGAATTGGAAGTTCACATCCAAACAATATATTTAGAGCACTCTTAAACCATTTTAAGTGTCATGGCTTCCTCCAAAGAATATTGGGAACTACAGCTTGCTAAGAGCGCTGGGAATTGTAGTTCTGGGAAGGTTCTCCTACTAAATTTAAGCACCTTTAATAAGCTGCAGGTGCCAAGGTTCTTTGGGGGAAGTGTTAGAGCGGCGTAACAGTGCTTTAAATGTGGTGTGGATGTGATCCAAGTCTCGGCTATCATCTCCTCCTAAGCTACAGAAACCGCCTCTATCTTCTGAACAGGAAGAATAGGCCAGCTCGAGGATGCTGTGGCGACTTCACCCCCAAGCACTCACTGCAATGTATGCAAAAGTCTACTGGAGGGTAGGGTATGGGGAGGAGTTAAGCCAATCCCGATTTCTCACACCCCAAATGCTGGGGTGCACACACACCCCAGCCGTGTTTCTATGCATATGCTAAAAACGAATGGCAGGTATATCAACCCTGGCTATATTGACTTGAATAAAAGATTCATTTCATGGCAAGTTTAACTGAAGCGCTTGAAGGCTGTAGCTGAGAAAAGTGATTGCTAAAAGACGACAAGGGGAAGAATTGAGCTTGAGCTTTCTCCTGGCAAGTGCCCACCCGGAGACTGCGCCCAACAAAATGAGCTTGCGTGAAGCCAGGAGCAAAAAAGGCTGCTTTGCAGGAGCAGTACATGTGCCCCCCAAGTCCTTGTTGCAAACAAGACGCTCTTCTCCAATGACCAGAGAAGCACACTGCCAATGCGTGGAAAGCCTCTTCCAATTATCTGCTAACCGAGGCAACGTAGTTGGCCCCCGCCTCCCAGTTTATCCAATACGGTGGGAGTTTGCAAAAGTTTGACTTTGTTTTCTACAGGAACGTGCTGCTATTGCCACTACAGACATCACTGGCAAACATCACGGCTGCTAGAGACGGCTAAATCTACTGCAGAGCTTGTGCTCTATGCACAAGCATTTCTACAACTACTCCAAAGTGCACACAAAATATTGAATTATCCCTGGCTCCCCCTGCCACAAACCCGCCAATGCAAATATCACCATCAAGCTTTGCAAGCACTTATACGTTATAAATGCTGCTTTGGTAAGATGTGCTCTGTAGTCTTCAATCAGCTGGAGCCCCGACTATTCGTTGCCTGTACGGGCACTGCATTAGAGCCCGGTACACTTTATTTGTGTGCAGCTTTAGGAAAACTACGTTATGTAATAAGCTATTTATTCCCATTCTCCTCCCCACCCTCCATAACCATGGCAACTATATATATATAAAAAAGGCCTTTCATATTGCCATCATGAGCAATACATGGAGGCTACATTATGAGACAAGCCCATATGTGATATTGTTACCATGGGAACACTTACCCACACACTAGCAGACAAAAGTACATGCTGCCAAATAAAGCAAGGAGGGGAGAAAGGGGGGAAGATTAAGACAATTATTTTCTCTTCAATGGGAAAGAAAACCCAATATATTTATTTTTTTAAAGTCCTCGAAGGGGACTTCAGGCATCACGAAGGATAAAGAGAGAGAGAGGTCTGCCTACGTTGGCAACACCCTTGACCCAGCTGAGCTGCTCTGGGTTCGGGTTTAGAAAGACGCTTGTTTGGTGACTCTTCTGAAGCAGTTCGCCCCATAATTCTGAGAGGCGGCTCTCAAGAGAAGCGGCTCTTATTTATTAAGTGGCAAAGGTTTTCCAGCCGTTCTGAAAGTTTGCTCCAGCCAGTTTCTGAGGTACCTGGAAGGAGGTAAAATATACCAAGGCACACAGAGAGGCACTGACACAGGACCTACCTTTGCTAGACTGGCTGTGAATAGCACACATTCAAAGAGTTCTCCCATCCTCTGAAGGAACTCGTCCACGTGTGGTCGCTTTAATACATAAACCTGGAAGGACGCAGGGAGGAGGGGAGGGTGGGAAAAGAAGAGAGGCTAAGACTCTGGTGGAAACACACTGCGGAGATTAAATCAGCAGAGAAGAGATGTTGATGGGCCCTATTATTACTCGCTGCACAAAAGGCGACAGGCAAAGCAAGCTTGCAAGGTGGGTAACTGGAGTAGAAAATTGACAGTGGCATGGAAAGCAAGGCAGCTGCGGTTGTTCTTTATTTTTCTCCATTTGCAAACAATCAGTTTTTAACTGAACCAAATAAAAGAGCTGTCTTTCTAAGCCAAGGAAACTGCAATACATCTGGGACATTTAGTGCTTTCAAGGAACATCTGCTTGAAACGGTGTTACATCTGCACACTGAAAAATGAGCATCACAATAATACAGAACATGTTCTCTCCCCCCCTCCCCATGTTTAATGCAACGTTGGATCCTTGATGGTGAAGCAGATAAACATAGCAAAGTTGCCCTTGGTACCCAGTATATCTGGTTGTTGGTCTTCTTGCTGTTAAGAGTTGGGAGAAGACGCGTGGACTCGAACTTCTCAGCATCGCCTTCACAGTGTTGTGGCTACTTCCCAGTGCAAGTAATCAAGGATAGGCCATTTAGAATGCACACAGCCTATCCTGGATTACTTGAACCAGGTCACAGCCTCTTCTGGAAAGATCATTCAAGGAGCACTGCCCTTCAGGGAATGAAAGTCATCACATACTAAAGTCATGCACACAGCTTTCAAATGACATGTTCCTCATTCTTCTTATTTCCCGCTCGCTATTTTTGCGGTTAAAAACAACAAAAACCAGAATCCTTAGCTCAAAAAAAGACTACTACTGTTCAAAACAAAGCCCCGGATCATTGGGTCTTATGCAGAGCTACACTGATAGATGTTCTACATTTTGTTTGAGCTCCCTATCCCGATCATCCTGGACAGAGGATGGAGAATGACTTCTGTGTTTGAGAAAATGCAGCTCTCTCCAATCATTATTTAGTGGTACAACGGTTTATATTGTGAAATGCAATTTAACTCATCGCAAACACCCTTCAAATCAGAACTTCATAACTAGGGGGGGGGGGGACCTTTTCAAACAGCAGCGATTCTCTGCGCAAAGAAAGGAGGCCTTGGATGTTTCTTAATTTTAATGCACTCCTCAGTCCTTCCCAATGCTAATGTAGGTAGGCCTGCTGGGCAGCGACACAGCACTCTGAAGGCAGAAAGCAGTGCCAAGTGGTCATGGGACTGGAATAGAAATTTACTGAGCAACTGCAGAAGATGCTTTGTTATTCAGATGGGCAAATACTGTAGGCAGCACCTGCAAAACTGCTGAAGGATCACCCTGTCTGTAGTGGAGGACAATATGGGATCATGATCATAGAATCATAGAGTCGGAAGAGACCACAAGGGCCATCGAGTCCAACCCCCTGCCAAGCAGGAAACACCATCAGAGCACTCCTGACATATGGTTGTCAAGCCTCTGCTTAAAGGCCTCCAAAGAAGGAGACTCCACCACACTCCTTGGCAGTAAAGTCCACTGTCGAACAGCTCTTACTGTCAGGAAGTTCTTCCTAATGTTTAGGTGGAATCTTCTTTCTTGTAGTTTGGATCCGTTGCTCCGTGTCCGCTTCTCTGGAGCAGCAGAAAACAACCTTTCTCCCTCCTCTATGTCACATCCTTTTATATATTTGAACATGGCTATCATATCACCCCTTAACCTCCTCTTCTCCAGGCTAAACATGCCCAGCTCCCTTAGCCGTTCCTCATAAGGCATCGTTTCCAGGCCTTTGACCATTTTGGTTGCCCTCCTCTGGACATCTTCCAGTTTGTCAGTGTCCTTCTTGAACTTATCTTGTTCTCTTTTTGGGGGGAAGGGGGGAGAAGAGAAAATTGTCCCACTTGTTAAAAAAAAAAAGTGTCTTGCTCTATGCTGGAAATTTACAATTCTACCCCATACGTTTTACACTTCTTATCTTTGGAAAGCGCTACCTTGGCACGTGAGGCTGATTTGGCAGAGAGAACTGATAAATAAAGACTGGAATTTGTGGGTGGCAAGTGAACCAGGTCCTGTTACAACAACAAATATATATTAGTTTTAAATCTGTTTGACTGTCATAGCTTGCCCCATACTATCATGGGAATGAAGGATCAGATGGTTAAGAGAACTTCAGGTCTCCTCTTAGAGCCACCATTCCCAGGGCCCCTTTGGATAAAAGAATTAATGTTCCACCCCTTTTAAGTCTGTAGCAAGAGAACTGGTTCCCTGCACTGCTTTGGGAGAAAGGGCAAATTTCATAAAATAATACAACTGACTAAATGAATGGTATGGATACATATTGGAAAAACATTTTTATCCTGCTGAACAACAAAATGTGTTTATAAAATATAACAGTTTCCAATAAAACCAATTTAAACAAGAAAGTAACAAGAATGTAACAAGCAAGCCATTTAAGTGGAAGTTTTCCTCCTGGCTTTTCTCTGGGCAACACTTTCATAATAAAAAATGGTTCACACCACACTGAATTTTGTTATTGACAAGAAATACATTGTGACGGTAAAACAAAAAGAAACAACTTCCAGCAGTGCTTGATTTGTAACATAACAACACAACTACTTTAGAATATGATCATGGGACATCCAGAAAGAAGAAAACAGTGCAGCTACATAAGAACAGGAATCAGTCCCAAATAATTAGAAACTAGCCTCTTATATATGTACCTTAAGTATGTATACAAACTCAATGAGAGGGGCAAAGCTTGCTTTTGCCGGGTAATCTCATTTATATTAGGTTTAATTGGAGACAAACACAGTCTTATATCCTCATCAACACAAAGAAGCCTTTCTATTTTCTGATATTTCATATTTGTCAGAGTTGAAAATCCCTGTTCCATATCTGTCCACATTCTGCAAATAATATATATTTTATATATATATTATATGCCTGGCGTGCTCTGGTCCATGGGGTCACGAAGAGTCGAACACGACTAAACGACTAAACAACTATATATATATATATATATATATATATATATATTTAAGCTATGCTACACTGAAATGTTTGTTTATTTGATTGTCTTTGAATCTTCTCACACTTGCCATCCTCTCCTGCCACACTCTTTGAGAACCACGGCCATATCTTAACCCATTCTATTTAGGTAGATACATTAGAGAAATCAGTTTTATCAACTAGATGGGACAAAGGCAGAAGTTTTCTAGTCAAGTGAATCAGTTATGTGGACAAGTCTGTGTTAAAAGTTCTTAACAAGATCATGCAGCAACAATGTGCTCTGAGTGCGCGCGAACAATTTGTTACTGATTGGGCAATCTTTTATTGCCTACCCTTTCACCTTGTGTATGCACACACAAGATCCCCTTTCCTCTGCAATTCTAGTGATAACTTACATATTCTAGTTAACAGTTCAGCCATTTCAAATCCGAGTGCAAAGACTTTCAAGTGAATGCCATCTGGCCCCAGTGACATGCTATTTTTAATGTGTCAATTAGTTCTCAAACTCCATCCTTTCATAATCTGACACCTTTCTTTAGATGCCCAACTGGTGGGAAAGAACTCCAGGGTGAATACATATCCATTCTTTTCTTTCAATTTGACAATGTTTCTCTTTACATAGGCATTCAATTATTGGCTTTTTAATGGAACAGGAAAGAAAAAACACAACATGTAGCCACACACACACATATGAACACTTTATAAACTTACTTGATAATGAGTCCAGTTTCTATACACACTTTTACAATGTCCTCAATAATATGCACTGATGAGCATATTCTGGTGTCTTGTTAACACCAATAAATAATAAAGAGACTCCATTTCCAGTTGTCAAGCTGCCTGTCTTCTTTTACTACGTTACTCAAGTGTTATCATTTGGGCCACTTCTCAGACCCCAGTCATCCAACCACCTAGTGTTGGAGCATTTATTTTTCTTCAGTTATAGTTGCAGTTAAAAGATGTTCCATCATTTCCTGGTCTTTCGAGACAACGAGATCTTTTATATGATTTTCTATCCTGACAGGACAGTTACAGTGCTACCTTGGTTTAAGAACAGCTTAGTTTATGAACAACTTGGATTAAGAATGCTGCAAACCCGGAAGTAGGTGTTTTGGTTTGTGAACTTTGCCTTGGAAGCAGAACATGTTCCACTTCCTGTTGAGTGTGTTCCATTTGTAAATTGAGTTCCCTGCTGTTATGGGAAAGCATGCCTTGGTTTAAGAACGCTTTCGTTTAAGAACGGACTTTGGGAACGGATTAAGTTCGTAAACCAAGGTACACTGTATTTCCTTCCCCTTCCTGAGGGTAGGTTTACTCTGTGGGATCACTATGTGTCTCCTGATGATGGGAAAGGACTTCTGAAATTCTCAAAAGTAACATAAAGAGGGAAAGACAATGTCCAGCAATAGCTACCCAGACATGAAAAGCTGCATGGGAATACCAGCACACCCAAAACCAGCGAAATGGTGAATAGAAAACAGCAACGCTCACCTGATGTATAGTTCCATCAATTTCAACGGGAACAATGAAATCTGCATTGCTAATTGGCTAGGGGGGTAAAAGTGAAAATAAAATCAGTTTGAGAAAACATGAACAGTCTATACTATCGTAAGCTCCCCGCACATGCTCTAGGGAAACATACTGGGAGTGACAGGACGGCTCCTGTTGAAGCCTGCAAAACCTTGACGACAACCGGCACAGAAAACTCCTTCGGAACAACTGCCAAAGAGCTGGAAAATTATCCTGTTCGCATATTTACACACAAACCCAAATCTATTGCACAAACACATTTGAGCTTTCAGCTTTTGCAATATGGAAACAATGGGGGTCGGAAGATGCTTTCATTCATGTGCTCACACAGGCGGGGGGGGGGGGCGCTTGCTTGGCTTCCACAAACAGAGCCAGCAGGTAGAGCAGGCAGCAGATCTTCCTCTCAAGCATGCCAGCTTTTGAGATAAGGGTTTCAGCCTGCTGCGTGAAGGGGCAGGGTGGGAAACCTTCCCTTTGTCTGAGCAAAACTGAGAATGGCCCCCGTGCAGCAAGGATGGAAGAAGGCATCATTTTCTCTTCCGCTTTGTATTCATGACATGTGGCGGCGTCCCCCTTCTGCTGCAGTTCACCTTCCACCAAAAACTATGTTATTTGTCTGCTGCGTTGAAACTATGTAACTTATTACATAAATTATGATTCTTTATGCTGTTTTACCCCATTCATTTCAACGCAAAGGAAACAGAATGCAAACAGGGTGGTAGAACGTAATCATTTGTGGACTGAAAGTAATAATAATAATAATAATAATAATAATAATACATTTTTATTTATATCCCGCCCTCCCCAGCCGAAGCCGGGCTCAGGGCGGAACACATCTTATCCACTGGATTGATTTCCATTCAGGACATAGCACGAAAAAAGCAAAAATGGTCATTTTTCACTCCTGCTTCCATTTTTGCTGGATTTCTCTGACATCCGTGTTCACAGATCACTTATTGGAGAAAGTAGCAGCCTTGGTTAATGTTGGTTAACAATGCAGAGGAAATGAGGGGACCTTGGTGATGCACTCTCTTTCCGAAAGGGGGAAAGAAGCAGGAAGTGCAGTCCTAACAACTAACACCACCAGGAGGAAGAGAGGACTGCACCAGCTTTTCCTGCGCCATGTGTTAAGAAAGTAAGTTGGCTTTCCCTTTACCAAGGACTCAGAACACGTTGCAAACATTTTGAAAGAAGGTACGTCCATGTTTAATGGGCAAAGGCTATGCATTTTTAGGCCTGGTCTACACAGCAACAAAATTAGGTTTACTGCTCCACTTCAGATTGCATTTGGGAGAATCTCATTTTTGAATACTTTCCTACATTATTTTTTTTTTAAAAAAAGATCACTGCAAATAAGACCCTAGCAGACGTGGGAGAAATTTATTCTACCATGTACCCTGCTATGGGGAGTGTGTGTGTGTTTTTTTAACATAGAGGATCATTCAGAAGTGCTATTTCCCACCCAAATTCTGAGGTGGCAGCCTTTTTAAATGACTGTCCAAAATGTTATGCCAAGATGGCTTGCTCTCCCAAAAGCATGTCACATGACCTCTTGCTGGACAGCAACCATGCCGTTTATTGTAACATTGGTGACAAACTGTTGTTTACCTCATCTTCAAAGTATTAAAGCAAGGTACAAAAGAGACAGGCTGAATTTAGAGGGTGTGAGATAATCTCACTAGCTCCTGGAAACAATGATTGGCTGCCAAGCCAAGGCAAAATTTATGGAGGCTGTTTTACTGAGCATACGTTTTGGTGGGCAACAGGCAACTTCAACATATGCATGAGGTGAAACGAACTAAGAGGGTGGTCACTTTGCACTTACACACACACACACGGAGTCTGAGTCTAGGAGACGATGACAGAGTTAAGATGGGGACTGAGGGTATATAACCTGTCTGCTGAAGTACATGCACAAAATAAAACAGTTAGCATCATGAGTACTTAAACACAGTGCCTGTTCAAAATGGGAGACTTAAACGAAAATCGAAATACTAGAACACACACCTATATACATTTTTGAGACCCCCAGGGATTTGTTAATAGCTAAAGCCCCCATTATTCCACTATCCTGCACAGCAGCCCTTTATCAGACAGAATATCTAGGAAACGAAGTCTTGGTGCCATCATAAAATGCCAGGTATGGCTGGCCGCTAGGTCAAGAGACAAAACATGGATCAGGGCTAGCCTCGTTCCTACGCCAGCACTCCTGGAAACGGCTGCAGAGCTAGCTGAGGAACATTCAACTCTTCTCTGCCTTACAAAGGAATGCAGTGTTTCTTTACAGAAGTTTTCCCTTACTGGAAAGCCTACAGTTTTCACATGTGCATTCCCACTGGATTCTCATCACTTGGAGCTCATTGTGTGAGGTGGCTTCACTGACAGGAACCAAGTTTTGAGGCTATGTGGAAGCTCTCTCTCTGCCATGGTTATTCATACATCTAAATCATCACTAAATGCTGTGCTATGACAACATTGCTCTGAGGCACAGTTGTTGCTGGACACAAGACATGTGCCCCCTTTTCCAAAACAGATGCATCCAGCACTGGATCCTAATGCTTAATATTTCAACTATGGGGCGGGGGAAGTAGGAGTAGGTTCCATTGTAGGACTTGTGTGTGTTTCTTCAGACAGCTATGGCCTATGCATCCATCTACCAGCCTATCACAGGATACTAAATAACACACATACCTTAAATGAACTGTGCACCAGTGTTTCATCTAGATCAATGACCACACATTTCTTTCCATAATCAGATATTGTCATTTCCGGCAGGAGGTATTTAGCTGGTGGCTGAATGGAAGACACAGGAAGACCAAGCATTGTTAGAAACATATCCTCAGAGAAGTTGTTACAGTAGTAATTAGCACTGATGAGTAACATGGACATTTTGGGGGCAGTCGGTGGGAAACACAAGTGTGGAGAGCGGTGTTGTGTTCAGGTTCTGCTTTTGGGTTTCCCAAAGGCATCTAGCTGGCCAATGTGAGAACAGGGTGCTGGACCAGTTGGGCCTTTGGCCTAATTCAACAGGGCTCTTGTTAAGCATTTAGGTGTTTGGAAAGTGCAGCAGATGGAAAAAATTGATTTGTGTAGTTAGCGTGTGGGTTTCAGTGTTGCTACGAAAAATCCTGTTCATAAACAATGAGAATGAAGAGAATCTCCATTCTGAAGGAGGATGAGATCTTCAGGAATAATCCTCGTAGAACGCCACCCATCACAATCTCTTCCACAGCAACCAGTAGCTAAAGTTCATAACGGACTAACAAGAATGCAACGAGAGAAACGATTCTTCATGAAACCTAGCGTAATCTCACTTTTAATCTTTTTTCTTAAGAAACCCAAAGCTGAGCTCCACAGTTAATCTCCCTATAGCTCAAGTGATTCTACTACTCTGTGGTCAGAGTGTGATGGCCCCTCAATTCAACATGGGACAGGAAAAGCACTGCCAAGGTATTGTAGTCTCACCGACGATCCATTATCCCATTGTTTGGCTTCTCTGTCTCTTTCTCTCTCTCACACAAACACACAGCTGAAACATGGGACCCGGTGTGACAAAACCCTGCATGAACAGTCCTCTCCCAACTTCTCGGGATGTGTGTGTATAAGAGCCAGAGGCATCTGATGCTTTAAAGAGGTGATCGGCAGCATGATCCCTCCTCCCTCTCTCTTGGCAATCGTTTTGCTGTTACTGCATCTTTCGACAGGAGCTTTGCCCACTCTTCCCCTCCCATGAAGTGATGATTTTTATGCTGATGAACAAATCCCGCAGAAATCTGGTATGGCCAAATCAGATAGCATTTCCTCAACCAACTGGAACATGACAAACACTCCCCCCCCCCCCCAAATGAGCCAAGGCACTGAGTCCCTGCCAACCATAACTAACTCCCCTTATGCACATGGAAAGTACCTGCACGGGTAGCAGATTAAGGCCTCCGATTGATAACAGACTGGAAACAGTCACACAAATGGCTGATTCATAACAGAATCAGATTTCAACCAGTATGTACATAATATTTATCTACACTGTAAGGCCTTCATTGCCTGGTGGCCACCAAGTGTTTGCAAATGTACTTTGGACACGAACAGCCTTTTGTTCTGGCAGTCACTGCAATGTAACACACAACACAATAAAAGCCAGGCCGCTGAATAAGGCTATTGCGGAACTGCATGGGGCGGCTTATCTTTTGACGGGTGTTTATTTTAAGTCTCTGCGTGTAGCCAGATAGCTGAAAATGGAGATCCTTTTATTGTGCTGCAACAACAGGGCTGCTGGTTGTAAACTGATCAGAAATGTGAGGTAGTTGGGATGTGGTAGGAATTTGACACATAGCTGGTCGCTATAGGCAGCTTTGGCTGCATGCTACTGTGGGGTGAGCAATTTTCTATAGCCACCAAGGTCACATTCACACCATGCATTTAAAGCATGCTTATACCACTTAAGGGACACGGGTGGGTTAAGGGACGTGGGTGGCGCTGTGGGTTAAACCACAGAGCCTAAGGCTTGCTGATCAGAAGGTCGGCGGTTCGAATCCCCGCGATGGGGTGAGCTCCCGTTGCTCACCTAGCAGTTCAAAAGCACATCAAAGTGCAAGTAGATAAATAGGTACCGCTCTGGCGGGAAGGTAAACGGCGTTTCTGCGCGCTGCTCTGGTTTGCCAGAAGTGGCTTAGTCATGCTGGCCACATGACCCGGAAGCTGTACGCCGGCTCCCTCGGCCAATAAAGCGAGATGAGCGCCGCAACCCCAGAGTCGGTCACGACTGGACCTAATGGTCAGGGGTCCCTTTACCTTTATACCACTTTAATAGCCATGACTTCACCTGAAGAATCATGGGAAATGTAGTTTGTTAAGGGTGCTGAGGGATGTCGGGGGACCCCTATCACATAGCTACAATTCCCAGCACTCTTAATGAACTACTGTTCCTAGGATTCTTTGGGACAAGTCATGACTGTTAAAGTGATATAAGCAGTACTTTTTGGGGTTAAAAAAAAGAGGTGCCAGTATTGTGATAAAAGTGCTGTGGGTGCCAGCACAATTTGGCAGCCATGGGCAGAAAAAATAGAGGTGAAGGTACTTGACACAGGTGACAAAAATTCACTGGATAGAAGGGTGCTTAAATCTATGGTGCAACCCTCAAGCCCACTGGGAAGCGGGTTAAAGGAACACCAAGAATGTGGAACAATTCTCTTCTGATCCAATAAGGCTAAGGTAGTCATGGGCACTTATCACTCTAGAAAAAACACCCATGTCTGATCAAAATAAAAAGAGAAGCCGAAATTTCCTTTACACTTGGCCACAAGGGAGGCCTGTACACAGTGATAGAAATTGAGCATCCATTATATTTTGTTACCTTGTGGGCTAATTGATGCTTTCTGTTGTGCAATAACCATTTTTTTAAAAGTGTGTAATGACAAAGGTTTAGTGAATGGTTCAAGACAGATTGAAGACCTTTATATGTTTCATTTGGTTCCCATTAATATGATTTGTATTCATCAGCTACTGGTACTTCATCCTCTTAAGATCTTATCAGTTAGTATAAAAGAATGGTCCTACAGCATGCAACAAAAAAACCCACATCAATCTAGACTCAACACAAGAGATAAATGATTAAACCAACCCCAAATTAAGAAAATTCAAAAATAGAAAAGAAAAAGAATAAAAATACATACACTTGGTATGGGAATGACCTGCATCTGGTCACCCTGAAGGGGAAAGGAGAAAAAAAAAGGTCACTGTCAGAGTAAGGTATTTCAAAAGAGAAGAACATAAAAATAAGTGGAAGTATCAGGTTTAGTACTCAAACCATTCCAACAGAAACTCAAAAAGTTGCTTAAGAAACCAGATGAATAAAAAGGATCTAGCACTATGGCAACTAAAATTATCAGTTAATAGAACAGAAGCATTTGTAAGAAAGGTGGGTCCCTAGTAGTTAATTCCTATATTCTCAACAGTATTGTTTGAAAGAAATTTGCAAAAAAAACCTCATAAATAGTGAAAATGCATAGGGGCTCAGTCAGTACTGCAGTATTTAAATCCCCAAGATGACAAGAAAGTAAAATAGTAACCAAAATTAGTGTTCAGAATAATTACCATATTTTCAAACACAGAGGACAGGCTAGCTTGTCACGTTTGGGTGGGTGCACTTTCAAACTTTTAAAAATTCTACCACTCAGAATTATTTTAGTGTTGCACTATAAACACAAGCATTCACTGGAAAAACCAACGGACGCTCATGCTTTCTGACATCCATTTGTTCTCATGAGTTGAACAAGAGCCCTTCTGCTTGTCTAGAAGCAGGGCTTGGTGGATTGGGACTATATAAATTGTGCCAAAGTATCGTTTGAATCGGAAACACTGGACAAGTCCCCCCCTCCCCTTTTAATAGAATTTTTGATATGAGAGGTGCTGAGAGCCCAGCCTATTTGAGATGACTTGTGAACTTGGAAACTGCTTCTTCTGATTCCTGATGTGCAGTGGCTGGTTCAAGGTTTCAGAAAAGGCACTCTGTATGCACTCTAACTGCCCTGACATCTTATGATGAAGGGCAGAACATAAGTCTAACAAATAAGATAGAATAAATAACACAAACGCTTTCCTAAGCCTTGGGGCTGAGCCTTGGTGAACCACACTTCCTTCACTTTGTCATAATGTCTATTTTTAAACATAACTTTAACCCCCTTCCACTTTTCTTACAGCTTCCAGTTGTGTCAATGCCAATGAGTTATTAATTATTTTCTGAGCAACTGAAGTCACTGTGGTTATGTCAGAATCTTATTCCACCCGCTTCCAATTTCCTTCCTCTTAAATTTGTTCCATATCTTTGTTGCTGCTGCCTTGAAGCAAGGAAGACACAAGGAAAATACATTTTCGATGTTTTGCTGCAAATCCTACACTACCTTCTCAGAGATTAACAATGCACTAGTTTGACGGCTGAAGACTGTCACCCTGAATCAACAGTCTACATCTGTTGTGTTGTCCTGCCACTCTCCATTTAATATAACAGGTCCACCCAAGCAAGCAGGGTGACAAACTGGACCTCCCTGCCCTTCTACCTTAAAGGGCTTACAGGCAGAAGGAGAGAGGCAAGCGTAGCTGTCATAGCAGTGTTCTACATTTCCCCCAGTTTTAGGGTATAGATTTGTTGATCCAGAGGAGAGACAATCTGATGCACTGGAAGTTACTCCAGTGCAATGCTTCGTGTCTATGAGACAAGCTCCTGCACTGATTACTGTAAATTCATATATGGAAAGATTATACTTCACCGGAATAGGCAATCTATGGAAGTTGCTGCTGACAATCGTGTTTCTGAAATAACCATCAATTCTCTCGCTGGCAGGAACCAACACAGATATTCTTCTACAGAGCCTAAGAAGGCAGCCCTATATGTGTTTACTCTCAGAAGTAAGTCCCACTGAGCTCAATGGCACTTGCTCACAAACAAGTGGGTATAGGATTGCAGCTCAAGTGGCATTTTCATGATATTAATTCCCAAAGGAATAATTGTTAAATTCCCGAGTAGTCTAAATAGGCCTTTTCATTTAAGAGGTAGAGTATGTAGGAACCTGCAGCTTACACACCATCTCCTTTGAGGATTTTGTCATTAAGCTTCCAACTCAGAATTTAACTATTCTTTTAATTATTACCCTCAACATAAAATTGACTTTATTCTATTTAAACTACTGTACAGTCTCCTGTTTTACCCACGGTTATCTATTCAGCCAATTGTTATACAATCACTGAACACCTACAATCAGGTTGTATTAGTATTAATTCAAAATTAGGAAATCCACGAGATTTGTTTGAGTTACCTGAACATGGCCATTAAACTGTCTGTTTTAAATTATCAGCATAGCCAGGAGGCTGCAACTATTTGCAGCAGGCAAGCACAACTTGGGGTCCACAAGCGGCCCAATAAGTCTTCTGTTTATGGAGACCTCTAGTCAATCCCATGACAAGCTACAATAGATGGCTGGTAGGATGCATTTGGCTTGGCGGTTCACAGTTGGGTAGGATTCCAGCATTAGAGCAAGAATCACCAAAGAGGCCTTCCCTGGTACCCACACCTTTACCTACTGAAATTAGGCTTGAAGGAAGCATTCTGTTTCAAAATAATAGAACAAGATGTGGCACGTGCTTGCCTGCAGTGTGTGTGGTACTAACAGTTTCATTAGCTTGCAATATGCTCCAAAATTTTGGTGACACCCCCCAATTAGAGGATGGCTTCATACAACAACCGCTCAAGCTAGTTTGCTGTCACACCGAATGCCAGGAAATTTTCATTCTATTCTAGTGTGAAAAAGATATCCTCAAGTGAGTTCTATTTAAAACGTTTGTCAGCCCGAAAGCTTGCTAAGTGTCATCAGTTCAATCTTCTTGAATTTTTACCACAATTTCATGAAGAATATGGGAAAAGGCAAAGTCACATTTTGCTTCTTCTCATAATTACCAGAAAAAAAGACTGTTGGATCAGCTCTGTTCCCTCCCACCTCCCAAACAGTCAACATGGCCAAATTTTTTCTGCCCAGCATAGCAGAAAAGAGATCAGTTAAAAGGCAGGAGCTGTGATGCAAAACAATCCACAACCACATTCTGCCCTTGCACCCAAGAGCAGGCACCTGCATGCGCTTATCACTTCCATTTCCACAAACGGCTGCCATGGAATTCCTAGGCTCCTCTTTAAACTCCAGACCCGAATTAGTATGTGGAGCTAAGTAACAACCGGGAATAGTTTAGAAGGAAAATGGAGGGGGGGGGAGAGAGAGAATATTAAGTTAGCACATCCACAGCAGGCTTAGCCCTGTTTGGTAATTTGGTAGTTGCTAGGTTGCCTGTGATGATTTAAAGATGGCACGGCTCCACCACTGAGAGCAACGGACTCAGATAGCAGAGAGCGGCACTAACTAGAAAGCAACTGCAGTGCTCTGTCATCCAGCTGAGTTGCACAACCGCCAAGTGGAAAGAAATATATGGAGGCCTCCTCGAGCTGGGCTTCTGAAGCGTGTTTGCATGTTGGGATTTGAAGGAAAGTCAGAGAGAGCACCACGCTGTGTGCAGCAATGGAACAACACTGTTCCATCTTCTCATCACAATTCATTAAGGGAAATGCTAGCGAGCAAGCCGTGGTTGGGAAGAAATCCTTGGTTAAGGCTGCGTGACATCACAAAAACCTACCGCAGCAAAATAAGGAAGGAAAGGAGGAAGCAGAGTGCTTCCTGATCATGAAACCTGTCTGCTGATTGGGCAGTGTGAACCTGAACCAAACCACAGACATTTCATCTAGAGGCTAGGTTTGCCATGCAATTGATAGTGATGTTGTTTTCTTCAACAGCTGTGGCAGCCTGCAAATGACTTGTTATGTTTCAAATGGGGGGAGGGAAATGGTTTCATCAACTGCCATACTTTGCAACATTTCCCCCACTCCTCAGAAACTTGTAGTCATGGTTGCAGCTCAGTGGTTTCCAAATGATATTGCAGGATATCCAGCCACACACAACTTTTAACGGAAGGTTTGTTTGCATTAATCCAAAAAGCAAGTGTTAGCAAGAAGATGCCAACCTTCTGAAGTCCGCCATTTTCTTCCACCAATGGAGGAAGGACACTGGTGCTGTTGGTAGATGGTGGCTCAACATTGTAGTCACGAAAGCAGCAGAACAAAGTGCTAAAGATGCTTCGACTCCTCTGCTTCTTCAAACTGAGATTACATTGGGACACTGTAAAGAAAAGCAACATTTGAAGTGAGGTGTGTAACAGCTTCCTAGGCTCTTGAGAAAATGGGTCAGTTATCTTACATGTGCTCATACTACTTTTAAAGTAACATCATAATGTTGAAGGTGAAAGCCTTATTTCTAATCATCTTCTTTTGAGTTATGCCAGGAGGAATTGTTGCCCCTTTTCTTCAAGGCTGTTTGGTGCCAAGACAGCAGTGCCAGGTTATACCAGAGAAATATACTGGACATAATTTTGCTAAGCTGTGTGTCTCCCTGCATGCCTTTTTACAGCAAAGCTACACATTATGCTGAAGCAAACACTGACACCCATCACATTCACACTTTATATTTAACAAGCAAGAGAATAATGCGTGAAGCAGTTCTTTGGTTTCTTATGCAATAAAGAAACACGGGGAATTGCCATGGCACTATGACAAACAATACAGGAGGGAAGAGAATGTTCTATCTACGACCCATTTGGGCAGGACCTTTGAGTAGGCACAGCAGATGTGAAAGGCATCTGTGCCTCTGCGGCCCTTCAGAAAAACAACAACCACCACCAAACAAAACAACCAAACAAATTGCTGACACATGCATTTCAAAGACTGTCAAAAGCACCTGTTCAAAAGTTCATTTCAGGACACAGCTCTGGCCTTGGATGTGATCTGTATATGTAATTAAGTTGTGACAGCTAGGATTTAAGTAAGTGGGGAACCAGTGATGCAAGCCCGAAATGGTTGGGGGGAGGGTTAAATGTGTTCCTACAAACAGCAGGACCTTATGCCCCCATAGCAAGCTGCTTCTGAAATGAAAGGTTTTTCCAAAGGCCTTCTGTGATAGTGCTTGGGCAAAAGGGTCAGCTGTGCATAGAAACACCCCCCCTCCATCAGCATAGCACAAGCACTATGTAGTAGCGGTGGGTAGAGACCACAAAATTCAGCTCAGGTTCCCCATTTGGCACTTGGTAAAATAGCCTGATTTGGCTCAGGCCAAATTCGAAGCTTTCCAGTTCAGCTGGGGTGTCTGAATCCACTTTGCTCCCCCCTCCCCAAAATTCACTACTGGGAAATTTAAACACACAGACACACACACTTTAACATTTCCCCCAGTTTACAGAATTTGATGAAACCAGCAGATATATTAGTCCCTTCAGAATGGATCAATTGGATCAGGAGCTGTTTTGTTGGATGTCTCTAAAACATGACTTTGTTTTTTCAAAACATAAAAAGGCTATAACTTTCATTTTGGGGCAGAACCAGATGAAGTTTGCAGGCAGATTACTCCTTCTGAGGACCCAAACCTCAAATTTCAGAAGGATAGCTGCAGATTCTTGCCAGGGGGCCAGTAATATTTTAAGTGTGTGGGGGGGAATCATTTATTTTCCCTTAGTGTTTGTGGACAATTGGTCTAAAAATGGAGGCACCAGAGAAGTCATCCTGGCCAGAAAAAGAAAACCCTGTCAAATTGCAGACAAATTGTTCCAGGGGCTTTGGTGCTAGGTATTTGTGAATTTGACTATGGGTTGAGACAGAAGGCGATTAATTTTCATTCCCTATGACTACAAGCTAGATCTGTCAGTCGCGGAAGAGCTCCCCCTGTTCTGATTCTGCAGTTTTCCTTAAAGTTAAGAAATATTTCCCCCCTTGCAAAGCTGTTCTTTCTCCCCACACACCGTTAAGGTACAGGATGCTTCATGTGTCCCTCTGTTGGCTCATGTAGCCTCTTGTAGAGCCTGCAGTGCGTCAGACAAGCCCAAAACGTAATCTTCAAACATTTTAGCCACCTATTTGGATCCACCTTTTATAAACCGCTGTACCTCAGCTGAGTTCCCATGCCAGAGCATATGACTGGGTATCAACTGGCTCTAGTGGACAACATGGTGCTCACTTCCTGCACTAGTACAATGGTGTGACAGGGAGGTGTGCTGCTAGCATGGCAAGCAATCGAGACCCTTATCCAGGCTACAGTCTGGTCCCACTTCGCCAGCACCTACCTACATTTAGCTAAAATGTGGCAATGCCCTACAGGAACATACTGAATGACCTAGATCCAGGCATTCACAGCAACAATTTTACACTTGCTTCACTATTCCTGCAGAATAACCCTAAACACTCTCTGCCTGCACTTCACTACAAACTCGGTGTGTGTGTGTGTGTGTGGATCAGCCAAAGGTACCAGGTGTGCCTACCGATTTGTGTTCCTGGAGAACACTGAGAGGGATTCATGCAGCCTTTTACATAAAATCACAGAACTGTAGAGTTGGAAGGGACCCAGAGGGTCATCTAGTCCAAACCCCTGCAATGCAGGAATCTCAACTAAAGCATCCATGACGGATGGCCACCCAACATAAACTCACAGGAGTGACTGGCCTGCTGGAAGCTGTCAGAGGAAGGCTGGAGAATCCCCCCTGAAGCCTGTCTGGTTTCTATGCTAGGATGTCCCTCTTCTGCCGATCTCCTTGCTCAAGGACATGGAATTCATGCACCTGCCTGCAGGCAATTTCTTGTTGCCTAAGATAGAGGCAAAGCACAAGTCTGATTTAAAGAAAATACTGAATAGCATTGCCCTGTACAATACAAAATATTTTCCCTCTCCAATGTTTCTCAGCTCAAGCATCTTAAACCTCTTTGCACCTTCAGCAGCTTTAGTTGCAACTTTCTGGTTGCAGAAGTTTTAGCATCGTTATTGCTGACTAAGGAGGTGAGTAACTGATGCACACATCAGATTAGCCAGCATGTGCATAGTACTAATAATGCTATTTTGTGGCAGATTAAATATAGCTTATTCACCATTTCCTTCCATTACTTCCTGAACCACTTTATGTCTTTTAAAAAGAGAAACCCCTAACAAACATTTATGAGTAAAGGTTCTCAAAGCAAGCTCAGATCACAGTTTTGCCCTACAGGACCAGGTCTGGCCTGAAATGAACCCCTCTAGATCTTATGGCAACAAAAGAGTAGTTTTCATTATGAGGCAAAAGCTTGGAAACTCAGGCTTCCTCCTGGGCCTTGTCCAGAAAGTGGTGGGGGGTGATGAGTGTTCAGACCCCTGGGCTCTCACTTGTGGGGTGCCTCAGGGTTCCATCCTCTCCCCCATGCTTTTTAACTTCTACATGAAGCCGCTGGGAGAGATCATCAGGGGGTTTGGGCTGGGTGTCTATCAATATGCAGCTCCACCTCTCTTTCAAATCAGAACCAGTGAAGGTCCTGTGTGAGTGCCTGGAGGCGGTTGGAGGATGGATGGCGACTAATGGATTGAGGTTGAATCCTGACAAGACAGAAGTACTGTTCTTGGGGGACAGGGAGTGGGCTGGTGTGGAGGACTCCCTGGTCCTGAATGGGGTAACTGTGCCCCTGAAGGACCAGCTGCGCAGCCTGGGAGTCATATTGGACTCACAGCTGTCCGTGGAGGCGCAGGTCAATTCTGTATCCAGGGCAGCTGTCTACCAGCTCTATCTGGTACGCAGGCTGAGACCCTACCTGCCCGCAGACTGTCTCGCCAGTGTGGTGCATGCTCTGGTTATCTCCCGCTTGGACTACTGCAATGCGCTCTACGTGGGGCTACCTTTGAAGGAGCCCAGAAACTACAACTAATCCAGAATGCGGCAGCTAGACTGGTGTCTGGGGGTGGCCGCTGAGACCACATAACACTGGACTTGAAAGACCTACATTGGCTCCCAGTACGTTTCTGAGCACAATTCAAAGTGTTGGTGCTGACCTTTAAAGCCCTAAATGGCCTTGGCCCAGTATACCTGAAGCAGCATCTCCACCCCATCGTTCTGCCCAGACATTGAGGTGCAGCGCCAAGGGCCTTCTGGCGGTTCCCTCATTGCAAGAAGCAAAGCTACAGGGAAGCAGGCAGAAGGCCTTCTCGGTAGTGGTGCCCGCCCTGTGGAACGCCCTCCCATCAGATGTCAAAGTGATAAACAACTACCTGACATTTAGAAGACATCTGAAGGCAGCACTGTTCAAGGAAATTTTTAATGTGTGACATTTTAATGTATTTTTAATCTTTGTTGGAAGCCGCCCAGATGGGCGGGGTACAAATAATTAATAATAATAATAATAATAATAATAATAATGAGTTATGCTTGCAAAACCAGAAGGGTCTTTGTCTACTTCCAGCCGACTCAGATGTGAGCAAATCATGCAGGCTTTTGAAAGTTTCTGGCAGAAATAAACACATTTTGGAACAAAAAGGGATGGTCAATGATATTTTATCAAAGACTAAGCCCCATGTTAGGTCTTTACTTAGTATGTAAATTTTGCACTCCAGAGCATGCAAAATTCTTGTAGAGCGTTAGCAACAGAAGGGCCCATACCTTCATGATTTGCCTTCCCAAGACGCAGTGGCAGGCAACCTGGGTGGCTAGCAGATCAACGAAGGCCTAATGGACTTTATCCCTTCCAGCCCACTTGCTTCCTTACTGTCAACCACTGCTGTATAACATGGCTGAAATCTTCCGAAGGGGCCACAGCTTGGCATGCACGTGGTGGGTAGTACTACCTATTTCCTGCAGTTCTCTCTCTCAAGAAATGCAGGCTGTTTGTGTGTGGCCAACTCCAATTAAAATAAGAAAGAACGATTACCCAGCTGCAGTTATATTGGTTCTAAAACAAAAATAAAAGGGGGGGGAAGGAACCTTATGAATGAATTAAGGAACCATAAGGCAAGTCTCTTAAGCAAAAGGCCTAGAAAAATAAGTCCTACCTAATCAAGTACCTCAAGTGTGAATGGAAGAAGCCTCAAACCATTATACCAAGTGGGTAGGTGGGTGAGTGGGGTGGGGTGGGGTGGAGAGCCATTTCATATCCAGGCTTAGACCATTCAACCCTCTTTTAGGAAGGGTTACTGATTCATGTGGGGTTATGCTCCTGGCCCACGTGTGTGCCGGCAGAGCATGAATAGGCCTGCAAGGCGCAGTTACGAGTCAATTGGACACGCGTAAATCGGTCATTGCCTGTACTTAAGGCTGCCCTAGATGGGTCCTACCTATGATCAAATATATATTTTTAAAGATGCAGATGTGTACATTATTAAGGCCTCAGTGGATCTGTGTTACTAATTTTCAATTTCTTACACAAGGAAGATGTTTGTGTTGCACAACCAGTGCAGAAGTCTATCCAAAGGTGAATTTTCATAGCGCGGCAGCATATAGACCATATTGTACCTTACACAAGATTTGAGTTTCGAGAAACCATTTAAATTACTGTGAAATGGTTTTCCTTCGTAGCCTATGTGCCTCAAAAGCAACACGACTTGAGCCTACCACTGACTCACATTTCCTTGTGGAAAGATGTTCTGGAATAACCTTTGACATTTTTATAGTTTTGCAAAATTATGCAAGGACTATGTCTGTTACTGTGATGCAAGTGTGAGATATAACACTTGAGAATGTAAACCCTTTTAAATGAATTTATCAGCTCTTTTCAACTTTTAATTTTATATCTTGTGGTTATTGTCTTAAGAAAAAGAGGCCAGCTAACAAATTACCTTTAAATGTACATAGGAAGCATTCCTGGAAAACTATTTTATACTTCTTATACAGCACGCCCGCCCCCCCCAACCCAACTGTAGTGGTTCTAGGGGTTGCTCGTGCGTAAGCCGGTGCAAACACCTGGCTGGGTTGCCTGAGTGAACCTTTTCTGTCCGGACAGCCACTCACCCGTGGCTGTCTCAATCGCTGGCAGAATCCGTCAGTGGGCGTTTCTTAAACTTCTTCCAGCAAAGAAGCTCTTTGACGCCTAGTCTCCTCCTACTCTCTCTGCGCGAAAGCCTTCTGCGCAAGGAGGGCGTAGGCAGCAGAGGACCCCTACTCTCCCCGCTGGTCCCAGGCAAGGAGTCATGGGACCGCCTCGCCGCTTCCCCCATCTGCCCCCCTTCTCTACTGGTGCTACGCTGATTCTCTTCCCCAGAAGATGGGCTGCCTCTCCCACTCCCGGGACGCTCTCTGGAATCCCTCTGGATTTTGCTCTCTCCCTCCGGCACTGATGGCAGTTCCCTGACACCAACAGTAAAAAAAATTGCCTGAATGTCAGAATTTACATTCGAATATTCAAGGCGTATGCTACTGATTAAATGCATAGTGAATATTCTGAATTGATATCCAAGGTTCATACAGTTGCAATTCAAAGCTGTTATAGTACTTTAGTGTGGTGTACAATGAGAACTTGCTGCATTTGTGCCACTGTCTAAGGGCCATCATAGAGCCAATAAGGATATGAAACAGGTTCTGTGTGAAAGGCGATGAAGAGCGAAGAAAACAAGGCTCTCACATAATGGCACTAACAGTAGACCAGACTAACACTAAACCATAGCCTAATCTGTGGACCACTTATTAGCCATTGTTTCAATGCAGTCAAAGAGGCAAATGCTTCACCAGGATTTGCAGTTCTGGACCAATCACAACACGTTTGGTCCATACATAACGCTGTTTTGGTTTTGTCCTCCTACAGAGTTCTGAGTTGATCAAGAAAAGACCTACCCATTCTGCATCTCAATGCACGGGAGACATCAGCTTCCATTTATGTATCAACATTATATTATTAAATGCCTGCAGACCACCCTTTTCCTTCTTCACTCAGGCATACAGGATGAGCTTCAAAAGGTAGCACTCAGTGTCATACTCCAACTTCCAATCCCCAAGGTAACACACTTAGCATTCCTGGTGCATGACAGTAGCATTTAGAGTTCCCAGCCATGTTTATCCAATTGGGGGTGGGGGAGAAGCAGGAGGGGAGCTCACCTGCAACACTTGTTTCCACAGGTGCTATAAATCTTACTCAAATTTATATTAAAAATGCCAAATGCTCAGGAGTTCACATTTAGAGAAGCCAACTCAGCAACAAGAAGGGAGAAAAAACTCATTCTTCCATACGACAGACATTCCAAAAAAGTAAAGGCTCCAAATGGTGTAGCAGAACGATCACTAAGGAACAAATAAAACACCCTGTTTGCTTTCTCGGTCACATTTGCAGCCACTCCACAAGATGCTCACTCTACTTAAGACATTTTTCTGGAGACTCTTTCAAGTCAAAACATCAATGCAGCTTTTAAAGCCAGCTACAGCTTCCTCACCTTCCCACGTCCAAATTGCTATTATTTCCAAAAGCATGAGATGTTTTTACTGGACTTTAAATATAGATCAGTCAAAAGAACAGCTGCCTAACCAAGCAGTGAAGAGCTACCCTGTATTAAAGTGCATGTGCGTGAGTACAAAATGAGTGTTTCACAGTAGTAACTGCACTAAAGGAGAGGCACGCAGCCAAGTATGTGCCACATGTACGAGCAAGTAAGGTGGTTATAAGTCCTGCTGATAAATTGGCTTGTCATACTACCCTTAGGATTCTATTCTTTTTAAGCACAGTTAAAATGACAGAATATGCAGACAGCATCATAAAGCAACGAATGAAGAGTTACAGATGAATATAAAACCCAATGTATATAGTGTTAAGTGGCAGGCGGATATGCAGTAGCTCTGTACAGTAAGGTACACATATATGCTAACTGATAGCAAGGAAAGCAGTAGCAGTAAATAATTACTTATTTTGTGCAATTCAAGCATTCCAATAAGAGAATGAAATAATGAAGTAATATAGCCTTTCACCACATTATCTTATGGCTGCCTAATAAGCTTGGCCAACACTATTTACGTATTGCAGGTAGTAGGATGAATCCAAGAGAGCAGCAGCTTGCTTAAAGGGACCCCTTGTGAGTTGACAGGTTTCCGGGTTCAGGGGTTTCCTGGCTCACAGTTCATTCAGCCACTATATTAGCACAGGGGAACTCACGGTCCTCTGTTGGGGCTCAAGCAGCCAACAACAAGTCCTAGAAAAAGTGGCAATTCCAGGAAAGCTAGCTCGCCAAATCTTCTGAAGGAGTTTTCAAAAGGCATCCACGGAAGGATTGCTACAACTTTCAGCTGGGAGGCACTGTGGTTTGTTGACCTTTTGAAGCAATGATGCCTTTGGCTCCCCCAGCCCTTTATCTGGAGGCCAGGTCTTGCCCATTTTGCACCGGGGCAGAAAATAACTCGCGGAGTCTCAGAAACATGATTGCCACTGGCGGCACATTTGTGGATCTCTAGTCGTGGCTTTGTTTTACAGGTGAATTTTGGCTTCACATATATTCTTTTGATTCTAAATTCTATAGTGAAGTTCTACATGGCATTGAGCTTCATCTTTTTATTGCTTGGGGTTACGATTTCCCAAGAAAGAATTCTATTCTTCTAAAGAAGAAGAAGAAGAGGAAGAAGAAGAAGAGTTTGGATTTGATATCCCGCTTTATCACTACCCGAAGGAGTCTCAAAGCAGCAAACATTCTCCTTTCACTTCCTCCCCCACAACAAACACTCTGTGAGACGAGTGAGGCTGAGAGACTTCAGAGAAGTGTGACTAGCCCAAGGTCACCCAGCAGCTGCATGTGGAGGAGCAGAGAAGCGAACCAGCTTCACCAGATTACGAGTCCACCGCTCTTAACCACTACACCACATTCCTTCCTTTTAGCAAAGGGAATTTTCAACACTGTGCTAATAGATACAGACAAAGAATGATCCAAGAAGTCCTCAACAGCAGAACATGCAAAAGATAACAAGTGGTATGTTACAACAGCTGTGATGGCGGATGAAGGCTGCAGCAGATAAGAATCTGTTGTGATACTCATGCCATTGGAAAAGAGCATTATTGCGAAGATTGCGTTGGTCAGCGTACACTGATGCACAAAAATAAAACAAATTCACGCACAGGCGTCTTCCAAAAATACAAAATGGATGTGCTGTTAGCCTGTGCTGCCTTTCCTAACACCTTTTTGAACTTCCCCATTTACACTTCCATTATGCTGCAAGAGCAGCTGTTCATAGGGATGCTGCTCGTAAATTAACTCCAAAAACGCTGCTCAGCAAATAACTCGGGAGTTCATTGCTGCGAAGTGACCTCATAGCATGCACACACTTCCCAGGCAGCACATATTGGAATAGCTGCTTAGTAATATCCAGGGTAATGAGGTGCTAATGATGCAGTTTGCTGAGAAGCTCAGCTAGTTATTTCTAGAGCCCTGGCCTCAGATTTACATTAGGAAAAGAGCAAAGAGGGGACAATTCTGTTAGGGCAGACACGTGCGCATTGCTAGAGACAGGGCAAAAGAGGACAGAAATTTGCATGAACTTTCGACATGCTAATTTAAAAACAGTATCATTTACTTATTAATTGCATTTACAGGCAACTCCCCATTTATGCAGGGGTTGCACTCCAAGGCACTGCATGAGTTGGGGGGACATGCATAAGGCTGCCCCATTCCACCCTTGCTCCCTTCCAGTGCCAAGAATATGCCAAACACCAGCAAATGGGGATTTGCCTGTATAGCCACCCCCAAGGAAGCATACATGCTACTCCTGCTCCTCACTTAATCCTCACAACAATCCTTTGCGGTACGTTAGGCTGAGAGTCCGTATAGTTAGAGCTATGGTTTTCCCAGTAGTGATGTATGGAAGTGAGAGCTGGACCATAAAGAAGGCTGATCGCCAAAGAATTGATGCTTTTGAATTATGGTGCTGGAGGAGACTCTTGAGAGTCCCATGGACTGCAAGAAGATCAAACCTATCCGTTCTTAAGGAAATCAGCCCTGAGTGCTCACTGGAAGGACAGATCCTGAAGCTGAGGCTCCAATATTTTGGCCACCTCATGAGAAGAGAAGACTCCCTGGAAAAGACCCTGATGTTGGGAAAGATGGAGGGCACAAGGAGAAGGGGATGGCAGAGGACGAGATGGTTGGATAGTGTTCTCGAAGCTACCAGCATGAGTTTGACTAAACTGCTGGAGGCAGTGGAAGACGGAGGTGCCTGGCGTGCTCTGGTCCATGGGGTCATGAAGAGTTGGACAAGGCTAAACGACTAAACAACAACAAAAAACAGGCTCAGAGGCAGTGACTGGCCCAAGGTCACCCAGTGATCATCATGGCCAGGTCGGGATTTGAACCCTGGTCTCCCAGATCCTAGTCTGACATTCTAACCACTTTGCCACACTGGCTCTCAAAGGTAAGAAAACAAGCATATGGATGTAGGTTTAGAAACAGTAAGTGTAACTTAAAAAGAAATACAATTCCCCAATATGGAGATAACAGTGACCAAGTAACCTATGAGCCTGCTCAGTCTGCTGTTGTTAAATGTTGACGTCCGACTTCAAGGCACCTGCTCTCCCTTCTTAGAGCTCTTTTCTTTTAAATACTATGTGGAATATCATGGAATATGACCTGACAACCCATCAAATAGAGGACAGACCTCTGTAAAGAAGGACACATGTCCACCCTAAATTCTGTTTCCCTGCTCTGCTATGAAAGATCACCTGGTTTCTGTTTGCTTCCAAATCCTTCCTAGAAAATGCACATGAAATCCATATGGTTTTCAATTCCAAGATAACACATGCACATGATTCCCAATAGCAAGAAAATATAATTTACACCAGAATCAGATTCCAGGATGGCACTGAGCAGTGAAGCTAGTTATCTACTTGAGGACGAGCTCCCCATGTTATGCATGCAAGACAATATTTCTTCTGCAAATTTTTTTTTAAATTTTTGGCATTTTCTTAATATCATTTTAACCAACGATTCCAATATGCAATGGAACACACTATCAATCTTACGCCATGTTGGTTAAAAACATGAAGAGCAAAAGTCATTGAAGGGAATCCTCCCAGTGCCTTCTAATAACCAATCAGAAATAAAAACTTTCCAACATATATCTGGTCTAAAACAATTGCTAAGTAGTCTAGACGCACGTCCACATACTATTTACCTGAAGTAGAACACATCTCTAGTAAGGCGGTAGGGAAGGGCTTGGTGGGCTACTTCTACCACCCCCAGTACTTTAAATGCACACTTCATCTCTGATCAATGCACTAATCATCCTACCAATGTATTCAATTAATCCCTCCTCTTTTCTGTAAATTGTAACTAAAAGGGAGATACAAAATTCATTAGCTGTAAAAATATTTCACAGTGTTTTTACAATGCAGGGAAGGTAGCTCCTCGCTTTGCAAGCCTGTTTCCAAACCGGCCTTGGGAGGGCAAAGCCCTGATTGACTCCAGCTACAAAGGTTGAGGGGACGCAGGTGGCGCTGTGGGTTGAACCACAGAGCCTAGGACTTGCCGATCAGAAGGTCAGCGGTTCGAATCCCCGCGACGGGGTGAGCTCCCGTTGCTCGGTCCCTGCTCCTGCCAACCTAGCAGTTCAAAAGCACGTCAAAGTGCAAGTAGATAAATACGTACCGCTCCAGCGGGAAGGTAAACGGCGTTTCCGTGCGCTGCTCTGGTTCGCCAGAAGCGGCTTCGTCATGCTGGCCACATGACCCGGAAGCTGTACACCGGCTCCCACGACCACTAAAGCGAGATGAGCACCGCAACCCCAGAGTTGGTCACGACTGGACCTAATGGTCAGGGGTCCCTTTACCTTTACAAACGTTGAGGCTGCTGAAGAACCCAGAGACCATCTTGACAGTCTCTTAGTGCAGACTCAGGTCACTGAGTGTGGGCTTCCACCGCTGCCCCCGTCATGAACCACCATGGCAGCAACAGTAGCAGTTAAGTTCTATGCTTATGATAATCAGCTATTCTCTTGCTAATTATGCTGTTTTAAATGTGCATTTCATTGTTATTTTTAAAATAACTTTTTACTGGGTTTTAGAAACAAGTTGAATGTGAATTGTATATCTTATTTCCTTTAGTAATGCTTTCTTTTGAAATGTTTAAGATAATTTTTTTGTTAACTTTTCCGCATTCAATGTCCGTTTTGTAGTTGATCACCTTTGTAATGTTTTACTCTGGAAGGTTTTATTTGATATTTTCATGTGTTTTAAGCTGCTCTGAGACTTTTTCCATTTAAAATATAATGTTAGCACAGAAATGAAACGCTTAACAACAACAGCAAACGTCTTTGCACTGGGTTCAGAGCAGAGATTGTAATGGGGAATGGGTGCCCTTGTAGTATCTGTCTGTGCACAGTAAGATGTAGAATTATGTTATCTAGAATGTTTTCAGCACCTTGTCCTCACCCAGCTGTGTATAAATAGACTTTCATTCACATATGTGGATCTGGAACTATGGGTGCAAGTTCAATGCAGTGCAAGTACCTGTACAGAGCTTCTGCATTTGGATGAACATCGCTTTCAATATATATACCTTTTTTATACATGACTATAACCAGACCGGGCTAACGGAACCTTTAACAAGTTTAACTTGTACCATAAAAAGTCTCTTTCTTTTTTAATTAGGCAGGGAGTAGAGCATCACATTCTTCACTTAATCACTCCAGTATCACTACGTTCAAGTTAGTTCAGTGCTGGGCAAACATTTGGCTCTTATCTGAACCATCACCCAAAAAATCAGAACTAGAGCAGAGCAGCAACCTGAACTTATTTCAGCTTTATAAGCATGCATGCACTCTTGATATTTTTCTCAGTCCCGTTCAGGAAGTGCTTTTCTTGCTCTGAAAACGCCCATTCATTGTTGCAGGGAGTTAATGGTGACTGAAAAGCCTAAAATGATGCTATCTGCCATCCACTTCAGTTCCCACTCCACACACGCACACTTCCTCTTTTCTGTCAAATACTTAACAAATGATGTAATTTATTCCCATAGCTAAGCAAATCAGACTAGACCCAATAGGAAGAACTAGTAAATTCAACATGTGTTTCCTGTTCAGTACAAGGATTGCTAAGTTAAAAAGGAAAGGAAAGGAAGTACATGCCAAATATTGTTCCTCTATAGTCCTGGACAAGGTTTTAATTCAAGGGTCTTTACTTGACCCAGAATGTATTTCAGTTTGGGAAGGAGGGGAATTAGTCATTTCAGCGATCTTAAAATTATGCTAATTGCAAAAAAAATTAAGTTAAGCTCTGTAGAGGCAATAATGGAGTTGCTTACCTCCAGTTAATATTGCCCCAAGGTCTGTGGTGCAGACACACATTTGGGAGTGCCCTGGAGCTTAGATAGCTCAGCCCACTATCCTTCTGGATGGCCAATGCAAAGTAAGTGAGCTGGAGGCTGCATTAAGCTTTGCCTTGTCCAGTTCCCTCCTGGCTGCCAAGGAGGCCACAATGGGAGGAACTGTTCTGAAGCGTAAAACATGCTTGTCATTACCAGGCATGAACAGTTAAATGAAAACCAAATATTAAGCAGACTTTGTAAGAAAGCAGACATGACTCAGTCCCCAAAAGCCCAAGGGGAAAGGGTCAGTGCACAATCTTTGTATGCAGATCCCAGGCTGAATTCACAGCATGTCCAGGAAGGACTGGAGATGACCCGTTTGAAACCTATAAATTCACTGCCCATCAGCAATGACAGTACTGAGTCTGATGGACCAATGTATTGACGGCATAAGGCAGTGTCCAACTATGGCCGAGTTCTTTCAGGTTTGAGCCTCTGTGTGTATGTAATTCCAAAATATGAGACTTCACAGAGGCATGAACTGCAACATCTTCAGAAGAAACACGATATAAAATATCCAGCTAAGGTGATAAGGGCTTATAGGCCAATTACCGTAGGAGAGTTGCTTTCACTGGGTGAAACGGTCAACTTCATCTCCTATAGCAATTAAGCCAGGGGTCAGCAAACTTTTTCAGCAGGGGGTCGGTCCACTGTCCCTCAGACCTTGTGGGGGGTCAGACTATATTTGGGGGTGGGGGAAATGAACGAATTCCTATGCCCCACAAATAACCCAGAGATGCATTTTAAATAAAAGCACACATTATACTCATGTAAAAACACCAGGCAGGCCACACAAATAACCCAGAGATGCATTTTTATTTTTTTTAAAAGGTCACATTCTACTCATGTAAAAACACGCTGATTCCTGGAACTGGCCGGATTTAGAAAGCGACTGGGCCGGATCCAGCCCCCGGGCCTTAGTTTGCCTACCCATGAATTAAGCAACCTGTCCAGACTTCTGTCTTCCATGCAGGACCAAATGAGATGCACTAAATGTGCACCACTAAAAAAAGGATCTGAATTTTGAAAAGTCAAGCACAGGAATACTCATTTAATCCAGCAGCCTGCTCTCTGGATTGTTCTATATTTTAGATAAATTACTATTTACTACTCTATGCGTCATTCCGATGCCTCGTCACAGCAAGCAAACTTCCACAAGGAACGGCAACTAAATGAAGCTGGTATATATTTGCCAGCTTTAGATCTCAAAATGGCAACGCTGTTTTGTTTCGTGTGTATGTATGTGTGTTAAACTTAGCAGACTGAATTCTTTCTCTCGGCAGAAAAGGATGTTTGGATTCTGTGGCTGCATCTGCTGTTGAACTTTGTGCAGCTTGTCTCTTTTTAGTAGAAGAAAGCTTTGTTTGTTGGCCCCTCTCTCAGGGCGGGAAAGGAATGCAATGCATGCACAGACTCTGCAGTATTTCCTGTTACACTCCTGTTCCAAACCAATGTACTGGGAAAAAATCCAGGCAGCACAATCAAATCCTTGATCTAAAATGAAGGAAGGATGCTCAATGTTTTACAGTTTATATTTGTAGAGGAGTTATCTACATGGATTGGCGGGCTGTAAATAAATACAGAATTTACCTTCTAATCTGGACAAGACTAACTAAAATTCCCAAAATAACAGCATATATACCAGCAGAGTAGACAAATGCCAGCCCAAACTAGATGACGTTTAATGTGTAACAAGATTTTTCAACGGCAATTGACACACGAAGGACCTTATCTCTCTATCTACTTTATCTCTCTACAACCTGCTGCAAGTCATGCTTCTAGCTGGTAACTCCCTCCACCCTGCAACTGAAACAGATGATTGGTTCACTCCCTGACCAAGGGGATTACCCCACACATGCCTGGACAAGAATATTTTATTTTATATCCAACCCATCTGTTGTCTTGCATGCCTCCAGGTCTCTAATACCAACTGAAAATCTAATTTTGTACACCAATGTACACTATCAAAAATGTTATCAATAATCTATAAGATAATCAGTGATTTACAAGTAGGCCAACTTAATTCTATGAAACATCTTTGGGAGTTAGACCTAGAGGCTCAGACTGAAGAGGACTGGCATAACCTAGGCCCTAATACACATCGACATGTATTACGAAAATATTTTAAAATTATTGCATAGGTGGCACTTAACCCTGCTAAAGTGCAATTGTATTAGCAAGTCATCCTTCTTCCTTTGCTAGAAGAGATGTAATGACATTGGTACCAGATGTGGTGTACCAAAGTAGAACCTTTCCAGCAAAAGGTCTTTGAGGAAATACACCTCATCACAAGACAAAATATTCATGTGCCAAGGCTAGTTTTCTGAACAATTGTCCAGAAAGAACAAATGGATCTTCAATACAAGGGACCTATTATTTTTCTTCTAGTAGCATTAGGGCGGCTTACAGCCCCAAACTGGAAATGACTGAAACACTCAGGGCTCATCCACACCTCTGTTTGTCCCACCACTTTCCCTTGGGAAAACCCATAGTTTAGCACTGAATTGGAACAAACAGTGATTGGATTTTCCACGGATTGCTGTTCTGTCCGATTTAGCGCTAAAGAGCAGGTTTTCTGGGGGGAAGTGGTGGGAGGGAAGGCAAAACCACTGGAAAGTGTGGGGCAAACCACTTGGGCCCATGCTTCCTAGGCATGGGGCAAGCGAAAGTGTGGACAAGGCCTTACAAATTTCTATGTGGCGACAAAAAGTATGGAAGATAGCATTATCAGAACAACCGAGGGAATTGGTCAACAAATGAGATTGGACGACCTTTTGGAAACTTATTATCCTTTCATAACATTCTTGATTGAAAACCCCATTGTTTGGCACCTACCAGGCACACACCTGCAACTATGGTGAAATGTATTTCCATAATTTTCTGCTCCATGGAGAAGGGGGTTGGAGATTTATGACTTTTTTGGGGGAAAGTTTTATACACCCCCCCCCCCCGATTTATTCTTACGATTACAATGCATTTACTGTACATAGTAAAGGTAAAGGGATCCCTGACCATTAGGTCCAGTCGTGGCCGACTCTGGGGTTGTGGCGCTCATCTCGCATTATTAGCCGAGGGAGCTGGCGTACAGCTTCCAGGTCATGTGGCCAGCATGACTAAGCCGCTTCTGGCAAACCAGAGCAGCGCATGGAAACGCCGTTTACCTTCCCGCCAGAGCAGTACCTATTTATCTACTTGCACTTTCACATGCTTTCGAACTGCTAGGTTGGCAGGAGCAGGGACCAAGCAACGGGAGCTCACCCCGTCGCAGGGATTCGAACCGCCGACCTTCTGATCAGCAAGTCCTAGGCTCTGTGGCTTAACCTACAGCGCCACCCGCGTCCATTACTGTACATACCATCCCATTATTCTACCTCCCACCTTTGGTCAGGGAACCAACTGGGTTTGGGTGGGAGGGAAAAGACCATGGACTTAATTGTAAATGGTACCCAGGACCTAATGTGAGATGTGTCTAGAGACAATGCTGTCTAAATCCACATATATGTAATTGAACAACTTCGAATAAGTCCAACGTGGATTTGAATTCCAATGAGGAAACCTCTCATAATTGAGGGGACTGCTCAAAAGGAAGCTGAAAGGGGAAATAATCAAGAGGGTCAAATCTCTCCAGAGCAACAGTAATTATTCAAAACCACAATGATAAACGCCTAGCTATAATGTCATGTTTATTATGGATCTTAACAACTAGGGACTATACAGAAGACATAGGAAAGGAGGCCCTCTCCAAACAGGTTTAAAAAGACAGCAAAAAAATGAAATGCAGAATAATTATGCTTCAGAAGGAGAAGGGAAATTCCAAATTTAGAACCATATATTGTTAAAATGATGCTTCTTGAGATCTTTTGAACAGTGGGAGGTAATCTATTGATTATCAGAGAAGAAGATGCAAGAGAGTGGATATATTTAAAAGTCAATCATGTGAAAATAAATGTGAACAAGGTAATATATGCAGAGAAATCAGTAACAGAAACATATAATCCTGATGTAAGAGAAAAGACAGGAATTGAAAACAAAGTAAGGATGAGTGGCTAAATGTGCATTATAGCAATGTGAAAACAAGACAAAAAACAAACGAGAATGAGCTTTAGCCATATTTAACAATAGAAAATGACAGCTTTTGACAAAATCTAAAGAGGGAGAAGGATGAAAGCTTGAAAACCAGGGAAGTGGTATCAGGGACAGATAAAGAGAAGGAACATGGTAAAAAGAATCAAGTAGATAAGACATTATTTGAAAAAGACTGAAGTGGGAGAGAAAACAATTACGATGAAATAGCAGAGACAAGATGAAGGATCAGCAAAAGAAGAATATATTATCAGAAGTGGAAGATAAAATAAGAACAGAGAACTGAAGCTGATGTTTGAACAGAAAAAGGAAATGAGTTAGAAGTTTATGTTGAATGATAGGGCTGGAAAGAGCTTTTTAGGGATCAAAGTGTGTGTCGTAAAAAAATGGAACACCAACAGGTCCACAAAACATTCAAGCAGTTTAGAAATCAAGTAAAGGAGGGAAACAGAATGGTAGTTAGCCAACAATGAACGGTCACAGGAAGGTTTTGTTGCTATTTTAAATAGGAGAAACTAAAGCAGATGTTAAGTAGGATGGCAAACACACAGTAGCTTAATAAAGACTGAGAATACAAAGGAAGCAAAGAAATCTGTTTAAGACAAAGAAGGAAATGGGATCAAGGGGACAAGTAATAGCTCTTCATGACAAGAGAACAGTGACGAATTTCTAAGAAAGAGGGAAGCAAAGAAAATGGGGAAAAAATGATAAAGAAGATTTCATTGAGTACAAAAGATGATGACATGGAGAACAAAGAGGACTGGAAACTAAAAATACAAACAAACAAACAAACAAACCAGCCAGCTTTTTTTGGAATAAAAATTGACACATACACTCCAAAAAATACCTGAACGAAAAACCTCCCTGAGAACAAGTTGGAGGAAGAGAAGGAGAATGATAGTGTAAAAAAATGACCGGGCGCGGGGAAGAACGTAATAATAATCAAGAAAAAGTCGTGCTTAGCAGAGCAAGAGCACATGAAGAAGAGGTAAGCATAAATGGGTAATGTGCCAAAAGATGTTTAGTGGGTCAAGCACATGAGTGAAAATTTCAATTACAATGCAAGCAAAGGTTGAGATGGACAAAGGTCAACAAAAATAAATAAAAATGTGGAAAATCAATTTTAATGGGGAAAGCAAAATGAAGTGTCTTTACATTTTCATTAGATAAAGTGAGGCAAACACAGGAGAAAGTAAAGGTTAAACGAGAGGGAATAGAAGTGGGATCACACGCATGTCAAATTGTTGAAAGGATTAAGAACAATTAGGCAAACCAACGTCTGGTAATAGAGATGATGATTAGGTAATAGGAAGGAAAAATCAACAGGAACTAAGAGATGAAAAAGCAAAAGTTTCTCCTCTATCTAAAGCATGACTACCAGAATCAGTATACATGGTAGAAAGTTCAAAGGAATCAAGAAGAGCAAGAAAATATTTTATGTCAGCATTACCAAACATCACCTAGTATAAAAACTAGAGAAGAAGGCTCAGAAAGCAAGAAGGGTAAATAATTAGATTTGGAACCCAGAGGATAACAGGAAAAAAAGAGAACTTGAAGGACAATAAAAGGCTCAAAAGCAAGAGAAGAACATGCTTGAGGCAAAGAAATAGTACTAACCTGTTGCCCTCTGGTTGTTTTGGACTACACCTCCCATCAACCCCAGTCAACGCAGCCATGTTGGCTGGGATTGATGGGGGCTGTAGTCCAAAGTATCACTAGGGCAACAAGCTGGTGAAGGCTAGAATAGAGAAATGACTATGCAAGAAGAAGAAAGTCCACTCCAATCCCATTGGCTTAGTAAGGGGAGTGAAAGCAAAAAAGAACCACCAACATCCCACAAAGGGTTGCCAGGATTAGAGTCAGATGGTGGAGTCCAGTTTTACACCAAAGCAAAACAAGGAGTGAGGAACTGCAGGTTTATTAACACCTGAGCACATGCTCAAGAAAGTAGATAAAAAGGGAATGAAATTGAAATCAACCAGACAGCAGGCACAAACATACAAGGGCCCGGATTCAAATGATTCACAGTGGTGTTGGATAGGTAAGGTGAGAAGTGAAAAAACAATTTGCCACATGGGTAACTCATGCACACTGGTTAAGAAAACTGCCAATGTGTTTAAGCAAAGGAATGGGAAATTCAGGGGCAGGGGTTTTCCTAGCCTATTATTATTATTATTACAGCGAAAATTGCAATTTTGGAGAAAATGGCTAGTCACAGGGAAGCAAACATAGACACTTACCGCAGTTTGGCTACCAGGCCATGGTAAGTGTGCAGGGTTAATAGCTGCTGACAGAATAGACTAGCCAACCTCAGGAATGGACCTTGTGGGAACCCTACTTGGCTGCGAAGTTTCTGACAGCATTCTGCAAAGGAGCTTTCAAGCACCAACTCACCACCAGGAGGCATGCTGGAAGTTTATAAAACTCTGTTTGTTTTAAACTTTTTAGGCTGCAAGATTATGGGTGTGTCTGAAGAGCTAAATATGTTTTCCATAGAATATGTTCTCCCACATGTAAATGGAAAAGCTGATAACTGATCCAAGGTTCTAGCCCGGTTTTTTAAATTTACTTTTGTAAAAATACAGCCTGAAGAACAACCTAATAAAAACATATTTCCCTTTTTCAGTTTTGGCATTGGCTCCTATGTTATCTTTCATTTATGCTACCAATGTTGTAATAAACTTTTTAATTTTATTTTCAATGCTAAATTTTTATATTTGGGGTTGTTTTTTTAAGCTACATTGGGTTCTTATTTTACAATGGGACTGATTGATTGATTGATTGATGGTCCAGGTCAGCTGGAATCAGCTGATGATATACAATATTAGTACAGTGGTGCCTCGCAAGACGAAATTAATCCGTTCCGCGAGTCTCTTCGTCTTGCGGTTTTTTCATCTTGCGAAGCACGGCTATTAGCGGCTTAGCGGCTATTAACGGCTTAGCGGCTTTAAGAAAAAGGAAACAAACTCGCAAGAACTCACAAGATGTTTCGTCTTGCGAAGCAAGCCCATAGGGAAATTCGCCTTGCGGAACGACTCAAAAAACGCAAAACCCTTTCGTCTAGTGAGTTTTTCGTCTTGCGAGGCATTCTTCTTGCGGGGCACCACTGTAGCTAGCAAATAAAATGTTTCCATTGTCAAGTTTGAAACAACATCTTAATAATTTAAAATATTGTTACCCATCCTTCCACGACGTAGTGTCCAAGAGAGCTTCCTACACTTGGAATATTGGTCCCAGTGCAGAAACATACCACCAATGGTGGATGGTGCCCATTGGATCTGGTGGGACTGACAACAGATCAGAAGGATGTGGTCAAAATGTTCTGATTCTTTCTCCTTCATCCCTTACCAAACTACTGTGGATGCTTAAGCACTGTAATTTTACAGACAGATAGCACTTCATGACAAAGAGGATATTTAAGTCTCCAGATCCTCTGGTGTGCTTGTGTTTTTAGAAGGTGTAAAGACAATGATGTTCTTTCAAGTTGGCGTACCAAGAAGGAAAATGTGCAGGCAATATTCTACTCGAAGTGTGATGCAGCTTAATGGGTTGAACTATTAGCACCACCAACTCCTCCTCACAAACCTCAGCCTCCCATTAGAGAGGAACCGTGATTAGGGAAATAAAATAAATTTATACACCGCTTGATCGTAAAAAAACACCCCTCAGTTTGTTTACAAAAAGATAAAGCAAGAAAATTAAGAAAAATTGGCACCCACACTATAAAACAGGCATAGGCAAACTCCAGCCCTCCAGATGTTTGGGACTACAATTCCCATCATCCCTAACACGACCAATGGTCAGGAATGATGGGAACTGTAGTCCCAAACATCTGGAAGGCTGGAGTTTGCCTATGCCTGCTATAAAACATACAAAGGTTAAAATACTAAAACAGCAGCCCTAGTGGCCAAGACTCCACTGCGTACCACTACTAAGTAAAATGATAGTGTGATTGTAATGAAATTTAATTTAATAAGCAAAGCACACAGTTTAAGCCCCAAGTAATCCAAAGTGACCTCCTAAAATTTAGGTCAGCTGTTACCCAGCCACAGCCTGTGCTGTTTTCCCCTGCCAGAGCTTTGGGAAACTGTTACAGAAAAGCCTTCTGGAAACCATGCAATTTATGCCTGAACCAGCTTGCCACCTGCAATCCTTGAGGCTGCTTGACTCCTAATTGAGCCCTAACGAACTCTTCTGAAGTCTTTACAAAGCCAGCTAATGGAGGGAATTGCAATGAGGAGGCTTATTTGCTCCCAGCATGCCTGAAACTTTCCTGATTGAGTACCAAATAATGAGGCTGTGCTTATATAATTAACTGCTTTTCATAAATTAATGAAAAGCAATGCCAATAGCCAATTGCATAAATGCGCGGGGGGGGGGGAATATTGTCGTCATTTACACAGCGAGATGCCTTTCACTCATTTACACTATTATCTAAACAAAGGCTGATAATTTTATTTTCACCTAGATATCTGATAGACTTCTGGGAATGTGGAAGATTTCTCTCCTGTCATGATCCAAGCATGTTAACATGTTTGGGAACATATATGAAAGCTCACCTACCCTGCAATTTCTTGGTTTAGTCACAAGGGATCTAAATAATGCAAGCCTAGTTTCTGGGGAAAGCTTGCAAGATTTGTGAATGAAGGCCACTGAAAAACAAGAGGCATTCATCTTCAAGTAACAGCAACCCCAGACAAGGATTTATTATTACAATAATCTTGCTCTCCCCAACAACCACAGTGAGATAGATGCTTATTAATCCCCTTTGCAGAATAAGAACTGGAGGTTGGTATCTAATGATCAGACCATAGCAAAATAAAAGTGCTGATTTGTCCAAGCTGTTATTTGAGCCCATTACTTGTCATGGTCTACAATTTTGCAGAATCAGTTCAATAACTGCCTGGTCAGCTAAATCAGACCAGATACACATACACCAGAAACTAGTCCAATATAACTAAGATAGAAGAAAGCATAAACACAAGGGCTGGAATAAGGACTGCGAGATAGTGTTTGTACAGCGGTACCTCTAGTTACGAACTTAATTTGTTCCGGAGGCCCATTCTTAACCTGAAACTGTTCTTAACTTGAGGTGTGCTTTCACTAATGGGGCCTCTTGCTGCTGTTGCAGCGCCAGCACACGATTTCTGTTCTCATCCTGGGGCGAAGTTTTCAGCTCGAGATTAACTCTTCCAGGTTAGCAGAGTTTGTAACTGAAGCGTCTGTAACCTGAAATGTTTGTAACTCGAGGTACCACTGTATTATGGCCGAAACTAAAGGGCACAATCAGGAACAGATAAAACCTGGTAAAAGTACAGTCTTCTTACCAAGTTGCTGGAGAGAGAAGGGGCTCTATGTTTATTTGTCAGTGTATGGCAGCCTTTTGTTACTGGGTGACATGCAAACTAAGCAATGAGATATATGAACAGAACGTGATTACTCAGGATTTTATTTCATGTAGCAAATAGAAGGCTGAGCAAAACATAGTGCTCCATCAGACATTATCATCTTGTAAGGATAAGCCAAAGAGGGATTCCAGTGTCATTTGTATAACAGTCTTCATGAAAGGCATTTGAAGATCAGTTTATACATTCAGCAGTTGTCAAGGATTGCATCCAATGCAGTGCTCCCATGCTCACTGTGGCCCACTATCCCATGCCTTTCCTGGGAGCCCCGATGCACTGGAGAGGTCTTTTGGAGGGAGCGGGGGCCTGTACTGGGACAGATAGGATAGGGAATTCCTCTGCCAGACTGGATACAACCCAAGAAGTCTTTTGATACTCACCCATATTAAGAACACTCTCTAAGTAGGCACATTAATGAAAAGTTTCAGCCTCGTCTCCTTTGATATTTTACTGTGGGAAGGGATGTACAACACAACCATATGAAAGTTGCCATCCCCACCAGTGGTCTGTAGTGGTTGAGCTCAGGAAAAGCCTTACCAACGGCTTCTGCTGAATATGTAATTGGCCCTTAAAACTAACTAGAAGTTTTCTGACAACAGCTTTATACTTTCTTTCTTTTTTAACTTTGGGACAGCCAGAAAATGGCTGCGCTACAGCGGGAGGTCTGCTCACATAAAGGTTTTCCTCTCTGAGCAATATACATTGTATTAGTTTCTACAGCACTTTAAAACCTGATGCGAATCAGCCTGCAAACAGATTTGTACAGTGGTGCCTCGCAAGACGAAATTAATCCATTCCGCGAGTCTCTTCGTCTTGCGTTTTTTTCATCTTGCGAAGCACGGCTATTAGCGGCTTAGCGGCTATTAGCGGCTATTAACGGCTTAGCGGCTTTAAGAAAAAGGAAACAAACTCGCAAGAACTCGCAAGACATTTCGTCTTGCGAAGCAAGCCCATAGGGAAATTCGTCTTGCGGAACGACTCAAAAAACGCAAAACCCTTTCGTCTAGCGAGTTTTTCGCCTTGCGAGGCATTCGTCTTGTGGGGCACCACTGTATCAGTTAAGACAATACACTGAAATTCCAATTGCTTATTCACCAAGTGGCAAATAATGCTGGAACTGTGTATGCTTTGGTCTAAGAACTGCAAAACCACACTACACCAGATTTTGTTGAAGTGTACTGTATTTCAAGACAGTAGATATAACAGCAGTACAGTAACTGTCCTGGATCAGACTGAAGATCCATCTCAAGCAGCAGCATGTCAAACTGTGGTCAAACAGATGCCCCCTAGTTAGCTCTCAAGCACAGGAGGAATGAGATAGACATCACACAGTGCTTGTTTGCAGCATTTGGGAATCGACAAGGTGTGGCCTCTCACCAGAGATTCAGTTTAAACTTCACTGCTTTTGGTATCTTCTTTTCTTCCAAAGCACTCAATTCCTATTACTGTGCAAGCTAGAAATAACTTGTGTGCTGCAGAACACTCCTGAATTTTGAAACTACTCTCTACCTAAAAGATTGCTAATGATAACAGCAAAGTGTTTCTGACCACAATGAAAATAAAGACGTCTTGCAAGTCATACAAATGAAGTCTACTATATGTATTTCTGTATAAGGCTTAAAGATAGGCTGCATGATATTTGAATACCTAAATTCTTTGTGCCTTTTCAAAGCAGGGGTTGGCAACTTATACCTTTCCTTGGCAGAATGACACATACCCTTCCGTGGATGCAAAATAGGTTGTAAAGGTTTGTTCACAACTCCAATAGGGCTATAGAAGCCTCAATATGTTAAAGCATGGATGAGCTACACAGCCTTGATAAAACTGCCCCAAAGGCAGAGCTGTAGCTACAGGAGGGATAGCCAGCTTTTTTTGCCCCAGGTGAAGCCTCCAGAGGGGTGCCATTGAGGCTTCCAGCCTCTGTGTGTGTGCAAATGTGGGTGGGTGCGCCAAACTGGGTCTATGACCCAGGTGAAAATGAGCCTAGTTTCGTCCCTGCCAAAGGCACCATGCAGACAAGATACTACCTGCCCACGTTCCTAAGGTCTTGTCCTAAAAATATTGATGTGAAGGTTGTACATTTGTGTTCCACTGTAGGGGCCACTCTGGAGCAGAAATTGAAGCAATCTCATAGAATCATAGAGTTGGAAGAGACCACAAGGGCCATCGAGTCCAACCCCCTGCCAAGCAGGAAACACCATCAGAGCACTCCTGACATATGGTTGTCAAGCCTCTGCTTAAAGACTTCCAAAGAAGAAGACTCCACCACACTCCTTGGCAGCAAATTCCACTGTCGAACAGCTCTTACTGTCAGGAAGTTCTTCCTAATGTTTAGGTGGAATCTTCTTTCTTGTAGTTTGGATCCATTGCTCCGTGTCCGCTTCTCTGGAGCAGCAGAAAACAACCTTTCTCCCTCCTCTATGTGACATCCTTTTATATATTTGAACATGGCTATCATATCACCCCTTAACCTCCTCTTCTCCAGGCTAAACATGCCCAACTCCCTTAGCCGTTCCTCATAAGGCATCGTTTCCAGGCCTTTGACCATTTTGGTTGCCCTCCTCTGGACACGTTCCAGTTTGTCAGTGTCCTTCTTGAACCCTCATCTCAAGGAAGAGGGTATGCTTTCAGCTGATCCATTGCAGGCAGTGAATGGTGAAGGGTACAAGAATCGTGCAGCCAAAACTTCTCACTCTGTTCATTGGACTTGACTGAAGGGTGAATTAATTTTGCGGACGAAACTTGCTTACAGTTTCCCGTGGCAGGTTCCTGCTATGATGGTAAACCCCTTTTTGCCTCTTGCAAAGTCAGCTTCCCTTGCCTGTTCAGCAAATAGGGATAAAGAAATGCAAGCCATTCTTAGACTCACAATAAGTAACCTTCCATCCCAAATGAACCAGATGACGGGTAGAAGATCTATGATGAACTGTCAGGTGGTTGTTGTTGGTTTTTTTAGTCATGAAAGGTGGCACTACCAAGCCAGGGCATGGAATACAGAAGGGCAATGCCACAAGAGTGTAATTTCAGGGGTCAGGTGTTTTGTGGCATTTCCCCTTAAAACACCAAAAGCCTTTTGAAGCATCTTGAGAAGTCTTAAGAAATGTCTTCTAAAAGGATGCTGCCTCAAAAACAAGCTAGTGGAAGGGACTGCAGCATGTAAGAACTAGATGACTGAACAGCAAACCTTTGCCTACCATCTGAACTGAAGTCTAGGTTGAAGGACAGCTGCAAGGCTGCAGGATTCTTTGATCTTCTGATCCTGCTTGTTGGCAAGAAAGGGGATATTAAAATACAAAGGTGGGAAAAGATGGTTGTAGCAGAAGTAGAAGCTGCATCTGCTAAGAACAGGAGTCACTGACCTGAATCTGAAATGGAATGCTGTGGAATACCTACCTAAAGGGAATGGAAGATTTTGTACATGACAAAATATGAACTATCTGTGTGAAAAAGCAGGCACAAAGGTTTAATAGGAACTCCTAATTATCTTTCTAAAGAACTCAAATCATGTGTTTAATTGCTGCTTTAATGCAGAAAACAAATTCAATTCAAAATAAGGGCTATAATCCTCACGCCACTCTCCCAAAATACACAGAGTTCTCCCATCAACAGTATTTGTTTTATACACTCAATATGAGCATCTCCATACTTTTTCCCCCAACACTGATATGTGAAACGCCTACCCATGTTCTCTTTTCTTTCTTTTATGAGAGGTAAAAGCAGATTGCTTTGAAAAAACAAGCTGCCTGACATGCTTACTAATTGGGCTTGGTCAAACAGCAGCTTCACAGACATAAAGTGCCCAGAATGTCAGCCTCCTCCCAAGGCAGGAAGTCCACCAAGCAGTAGCTGGCCAATGCCAGAGTAAACTGAACCTTCTATGTTTGTCCAATTACCCTTTTTTCCTTTTGGCTGCCTTTGCTGTTCATACACACTCAAGCTTCCCTTGCACAGGAAGTTGGGCCTCAAATTTAATCCTGCAGATTGAAGCCTTGCTTCATTAAAGCTACCAGCATTTTTTAAAAAAATCAAAATACCACCACTCTTGCTCATACCAGCACATGCGGGAGGTGTGTGTGGGGGGGGAGATTATCTGCAAACACCTACCAAGTTAAGTATTGACTTCAACAGGAAGGTGGGGAAGGCTACAGTTATCACAACTTCCTAATGGAATTATGTGCCTCCAGGAAGAAAACTGTCAGCAATTCTTTCACATTTGTGTGGCCAAATGTGTGTCCTGTGGGTACTCAGTGTGGAGGTCAGAAAGAGGCATCAAATTCTACACATTTCCAGTTTTAAAACACAGATAAGGAGCCACATGACGAGGAAAAATTCCAAGTTAGAAAGCGAAAGCACCCTTGTCCATCATGATTTTGCCTACATCTCTCCCGGTGGTCACAGGTGACCAGAAGCTTAAGACTGTAAGAAGATAAAAAGAGTCTGCCAAATCAGACCAATGGCCCATCTAGCCCAGGATGGACCAGATGTCATGGGGAAACTGAAAGCAGGACCTCGGCACAAGAGTACTCTCCCCTCCTGCAGTTTCCAGCAACTGGCATTCAGAAACACGCAAGTGAGTGAATTGAATTCCATGCAGATTGAGTAAGCAGCCCATTAGAAGACAGATGGATCACTCTGTCCCTCCTCCGCCAGCCCGCATGGTTTTTAGCTACTGTGGAAGAAAAGCTCTCCTCTCCAACCAGCATACAAACACAGGCTAGTACTCTCCTGCCCCCAGGCTTGCATCTTATTAATACAGCGATGCTGCTTTACACCATCCACAGCTGCTTGTTCATCATGACAGAGGGAACTTTGAAATATTTTGTACACCACTAAAAGGGAACTACAGTGGATGCTTGGGTTGTGAACGTGATCCATGCAGGATGCACGTTCGCAACCCGAAGCGTTTGAACCCGCAGGTTGCGATTCGGCACTTCTGCGAATGCGCAAAGCGCGATTTAGTGCTTCTGCACATGCGCGACCACCAAAACCCAGAAGTAACCTGTTCTGGTACTTCCGGGTTTCGGCAGTCTGTAACCCAAAAACCTAACCTGAAGCAGCTGTAACCCGAGGTATGACTGTATGTGGCATGAAAATGCCCTATGCTATCAAGACAACCCAAATGTGATGCATCCATAAATCTTACACCATATTAAAAGAACACAAGGATTTTACCAACGGCTTATGAAGCTTCATTATTTTAGAACTTTTTATATACACATTTAAAGAAAAGTTCTCTTTAATTCATATTCCAAATGGAATGGAGAGAACCCGTGGGACACGGTTATCCCTGGATATAAACTCAATAGGAAGCATACAGTAAGAAATACCAGAGGCCGTGTCACTCTATGTCAAAGACAGGTTGCAGCAGACTCCTCCATTGTGGGTGCTGATACCAGACCCCAAGAGTAATTTAGTGCTGGGGATACGCACTGAGTCCAGAAAGCTAAAAATCCCAAAAGGGGAAGACTTCTCCACCGACCTGACATTTAGCAACAGCATCACCAAGGTGAGAGGGTAGACCATCAAGTTAGGTGGACCAGCATGACTACGCTGGTTCTGAGAAGGGTAACAGCCCTTTAATGACATCACACTTTTTCCTCCTCCCGCAGCTCTACAACCCAAACACATCTCTGTTCAGAAGACACTAAGGGAATGAAGTTGTAAAAATGTTTCTCTGCATAGTAGTTAATGTAACATAAAACAAAATTTCAAAGTAACTTACAAAGTTACAGAAAATCTCTCTTCTGCCACCATTTTTTTAACCAGTTAAAATTACAGCAGCTAGCACAACAGCAGCGATAATCAGTACAGTGGTACCTCGGGTTACATACGCTTCAGGTTACATACGCTTCAGGTTACAGACTCCACTAACCCAGAAATATTACCTCAGGTTAAGAACTTTGCTTCAGGATGAGAACAGAAATTGCGCGGCGGCGGCACAGTAGTAGCGGGAGACCCCATTATCTAAAGTGGCGCTTCAGGTTAAGAACAGTTTCAGGCTAAGAACGGACCTCTGGAACGAATTAAGTACGTAACCAGAGGTCTCACTGTATTAAAGTGCAGGTATGCCATTTCAAAAGGCACTTCTTACAAAACCTAAGGTAGGGTTTCTTTTTGCAACATCGTATGTAAAGTGCAACAGCAATTTTCAATTGCAATTGTGCACAGCATGAACTATAGTAATCCTCCAGCAGTTTTACAGTACTGTACAGTGGCAATTAAAGTGCCAATGTGCAATATGCAACAATCATCCAGCACTTTTGCAGTGCAGCAGCAGTTTTTAGGTGCAATGATACAGCACAGCAGCCACATTAAAGTGCAGGTGTGTAACCATATGAACTAGGCTGATGATAATCCAGTAGTTTCCCACCTCAATAAAACGGCAGATTCTGCCACCCATCATCTGGGAGCATCCTTGACTTTAGTCTACCATCCTGGGGTGACCCCCCCCCCCTTCTGCCTCTCACTTAGGGTTCCAAAAATAGCCCTTGTCTCTTATCAGGGAGGTTGCTGCCCACCAACTGTCCACCCAGCACAAACTGGACTTTTATCTCCTACTCCAAGAAGCATCCTGAGGGAAGGTTGAGCCAAGTGCCCTGCTGCAGCATGTGGGCAACTGTAATTAGAGAGCTGGTGAGTCAGTATTTCAGTTCAGCTGTCACAAGCTGCTGGATATTTCTGGCTTAAGGTGGAATACACTTCAGCTAGTGGTGGGGAGAAGGGGAGTGCTCTCACCTTACTCTCTCACAGCAGCTCAGCTACTTTCTCCAGTGCTGCCCCTGAAGAAATCATGCTATGAATACTGTATTATCCAGCAGAATGTTAGCTTTATTTCACTAAAAAAAAATTATTAACATACTTTATCTAACATAACAGAGAGGTGGGATTTTATATATACATATATATAAAATAGCAGATCAATTTGAAATGCATGACCCAGCCCTAAATAAATATAACAACAAAGTGCAATTCTAGCTTTAGGTTTTACTTTCATGGTGCATCTTTTAAAGTAGTGCATTTTTAATAACATTCAAAACCGAGCTTTCAATAAATAAGACTTGCATTGTAAAAACTGCAAAAAAGTCAAAAAAATGTTTGATATTTGGAGCAGCCCAGAGATCTGGAATAGCCGTTAGTGATTCATATTTCTTCACATTAAAGAACCTACTAGTCACTGCAGTCTCCATGGAGTTCCCACCCACTTTGTAAAAGGATCAGACTAAACGTCATAACATTGCTAATTCTAGCGGTTTGCTTATGGTTTACAAAAAACTCATTTTAGATGTTGTCTTAACAAAGCAGGCCCAAGTTATAAAGCACCTACAATACACTTAACCACCTTGACTGACCTAAAATGGGAGTCCATTTCCATGATTGAAAGAGTCATTTTATGAACAGATATATAATCTTAACATCTTAACATCCACACTAAATGCACAGGAACCAGGTCGTCTCTGAGGGCTGTAGATGGAAGAGAATGTTGACAGAAGCATGTCCAGTTGGGTAGCCTAGGTGGGTGAGAAGAATCAGAAGACTCAAAGCTGGACAGAACATTGCAAGAGAGCTGCAAGGCAGTGGCATGGAGAACATAAGCAAGAAGTGCATTAGTAGGCAAGTAAGGTTTCAGAGCCTCCTGCCAACCTAGCAGTTCGAAAGCACGTCAAAGTGCAAGTAGATAAATAGGTACTGCTGTGGCAGGAAGGTAAACGGCGTTTCCATGCACTGCTCTGGTTCGCCAGAAGTGGCTTGGTCATGCTGGCCACATGACCCGGAAGCTGTACGCCAGCTCCCTTGGCCAATAAAGCGAGATAAGCGCCGCAACCCCAGAGTCGGTCAAGACTGGACCTAATGGTCAGGGGTCCCTTTACCTTTACCTTAAGGTTTCAGAGGAGGGTAAGAATCGGGGATGGGGGTGACGCAGGTGTTCAGAGTACAGAACTATAACTAGCAAACACAGAAAGCGAAACTGAGGAATATGGGCAGCAATGGCTATGCAAGCTCCCTAAGGCAGGTCTGTATTGTTATGGTCTGTGCACAGTACAATGCAAGCTCTGATGGTTGACAGGTGGGCCCTGCCTGACCTGTGCAGGGCAGAGTAGATGAGGATTTGGCTTGCTGGCCATTTCCAGTCCACCCGCCACTGCTATATTCATAAAAACAGATAGATGATGTTAAACTAGGGGCAGTCATAGCAAGAAACTTGAAATGTTTAATGGAGGATAGCCCAACTAGGCCTAGGAGAGTCCCAGCAATCCCAGGGTCCTTTTGACAATGTGCTAACAACTCCTGGGAGATGAAGTCAGCGTATTATTAGCTGACATGAATGCATCCTCATTCCTACACCGTAAACAATTTCTTTTATGTTAATACATATTGACATTTTTCTGAGCAGGAAACATTTACACCATGATCCCCACGCTGCTAGGTTCTTCCCACGCACCACTGAACTGGAAGATTGCCATTTTCCTTTAGAACTTAACAGTCACACTACCCAGAAAAAAGAGGGATGGTAAATTTGATAAACTGATGTGCCTCAGAGGAATCACAACTGTGGGCATTAAAAGCTAGGGTTCGAATGTAAGACACTCTCCTCCTGCTTAGTCCATATCCTTATGTGAATTTGCCCATCCTTTGAGGTTAGCCATTGCATCCCTCTTGCATGTCCCATCATCCCCCAAAGCAAAGCTGGTGACAAACAATGTTAGAAACAGAGATATGAAAGCCAGGAGCTAAATGGCATCTTAAACCTAGGTTATGGGTACAACAACGGAATGTCTACGTACACTTTTTTATAACAAGAATACAAAGCTGCAAATGGATTGCAGCTAAAATTTTATGCTCATTTTTCATATGGTCTAGTCCTTCATCTGCCCACCACACCAATATTCTTAGGAGGATCTCTTTTCTCATGTCTTCGGAGAGTAGCTTTAAGTGGGGAAGCAGGAAAAGGTCATTCTTTCCTTCTACTCTGCAGTTTTAATCTGAAATTTTAGGCACAGTACTGCACCCAGAGATCAGAAACTGCTTGCGCTAATGAAATTCCCTGTTGCAAAATGCACCTAGAACAATGGGAGTTTTGAACACTGGTGACAAGACATGACAGAGGTCTTTCTGTTGTGGTGTTCCATATGGGGAATTCCATGCCCAAAGAGGTTAGGTTTATTTTGCTCCTTAATTTGTATTCCACTTGGACATCCCTTTTTAAACAAGCTTTTCATTAGGGCTAACTTTTCATCTTCTTGCTGCTGTTTTTAGTTTGGCTGAATCATTGCTGCTTTTATATTTGCAAACTACTTTGCAAATATAACTCATAATGCAAAGTGCCTGCATATCCAGAGAAGTCCCTGGGATTTCAGCATATTTTCTTATAACAGTAACGGAAACTAGCTGTTTTATCCTAGGGGCATACACACAAAATGATTCTGGCTTACACTGTCACCTCACGAAAATTTACTTACTAGCCTTATCCCCCCAGTGTGGCTTAGAGTACTATCTAGAGCTATTTTGAATAGGTAAAAAGATAAAGGGGTACAGGACCCCTGGATGGTTAAGTCCAGTCAAGTACGACTGTGGAGTGCGGCACTCATCTCGCTTCAGACCCAAGGAGCCAGTGTTTGTCCACAGACAGCTTTCCGGGTCATGTGGCCAGCATGACTAAACCGCTTCTGGTGCAGCGAGACACCATGACGAGTGCCAGAGCACACTGAAATGCCATTTACCTTCCTACTGCAGCGGTACCTATTTATCTACTTGCACTGGCATGCTTTCGAACTGCTAGGTTGGCAGAAGCTAGGCCAGAGCAACGGGAGCTCACCCTGTCACACGGCCACAGATTCAAACCGCTGACCTTCCGATTGGCAAGCCCAAGAGGCTCAGTGGTTTAGATCACAGCGCCACCCGCGTCCCAATTATTTTGAATATAGCTACCACAATAAGCCATTTCAGTTTAGTTGTTATGACATAAACATGAATGATTAAATGTGCAAATTGCAATGATATTGCTGCCTCTATTCTTTGGTTACAATATTAATTGTGCTTTACTGTGCTTTTAAAAACTGCGTCCACACTAGTTTTTAGCACAAGTATTTGCCTTGTTTTGAAGCATCGGTGGCCTACATTTGACCCACTTTGCTTAAGATACAAACACCATCAGCACCCATGTATACAGATGGGGCATATCAGATCAGTGAGAGGATAGAAAATTCTAGGTCCAGAGTCCAAGGTCACTAGTCAAATGATTACAGGCCAGAAAAGATCCTAGAGAGCTGCTGAAAGGGTAGATGACATTGGACTATGTAGATCACAGGCTTGACTCAAAAGAAAGCAGCTTATTTGTATCTAACTGAGAACTGTACCTCTCTTAAGATTCTCCACCTCAATGTCATGCATGGGCAGAAATGCATGTTAAACTTGTAGAGTCACTTTTAATGTCCCTCCCCTCTGCCTACTCACTCCATAGACTTTTTGTGCATGTGTATACTTTGCATGATACCCTTGCAAGTAAGCTAGATTAGTCTCAATGCTCTCTACAACAAGAAACACAAGAGCACATGGAAGTCTGATCACCACCACCACTAAAGCAAGCATCATCACAAGTCAAATGATTTATAAGGAACTTAGGAGCAGAACCTCAATGAAAAACTGAGATATTTTCTAAAATATTAAGCAGCATAGAAGTGCTTTAAAATAAACCAGGCATCATATATCCACATTGGGACAATACAGCCTACAACAAAGGCAAACAGAAGTGGGAGAAACTAATACTGCAATACTCAGCTAATACTGAAAACAGTGGGATACACAGGTTATTTTATTTAAATTTAAATACCCTAAGAAAAAAATAGGAGAACATAGCAAGACATCTGTTACAAAGTATGAAACTGGATATGACAGAATTTTAAAATGCAATTGTATGTAATTGTATGTAATCATGATTATAAACATTGATGATGGGTGAGCGGGAAGTCATTAGTATTGTAGAATAGAATTATGACTGTTGAGTGACAAAGTGTAACTTTGAATCTTGAAATAAAATAAAATATTCAGTAAAGAAAAAAAAAAGAATTTAAAGACTCGATGTTCCTTTAAGATGACAATAAAGCTGGTTTCAAACACAAGATATCTAAACTTCAGATAATTTATTTTCCTGCCAAAGTGCTGACAAAGCTAATATATTTTGGGCCAAGTTTCACTTCCTTGCTGCAGTGTCCTTCATTTTTATTACTGCAATACTAATGAACCTTCAACCAGCCAGCTCCTTGCATTTTACCCCCTATCTGAACTGCAAACTTACTGAAGAAAAAAGAAAGTTGAAGTATCCAGTATTAGGAAGAATTCATGCCTGCACTGGTAATGCCATTCCACATTTTTCAGAGAATAGTGTAAAACACCTTTAACCTTGCTACAAGGCATCCTACGTATACACGTTAAATTGATTGCAGTTATTGTAATGGACAGCTCTTGCAACAGCTGCGAATGTTACAGGAATCTTTATGATGCCCTTGTGTAACCCCAAGTCAAATGTTTCTTTCTAGAGGCAATTTGGCTAGCTAAGTGTGGCACACACAGCTAACATCTGCCACCATCAAGACTAAAACATAACAGCATTTATGGGAGATAATCATATACATAAACATCAGTTCAAAGCATTTTCCAAACAGTTAACCTGTAAACCAACGCTGCATACTAACACCATCATTTTCCGCAGAGGAAGAAGTCAAGAGAAGAGCAATGTTAATGGAGCAGTAATGATTCTGTCAATGAAACAACAACAAAAACCTCCCCAAGGATACCAACCAAGAATTGACCAAGAATTAAGAGCAGGAATGAAAGATGCAGAGTAAAGGACACTAGGTCACTTTCTGGTCAGAGCTCCAGAGCAACAACATTTTTTAAAAAAAGTATGGGGGGGAGAGGAAAACACAGCAGCGAGCTGGAAGATGTGCAAATCTCACAATGTGAAAACATATAAGAAGGCACACTAGACCCTCAAAGCATCTGTAAAAAAAGTGTCTAGGTTTTAAGACACCAAAGTGGCAGAAAGGAAAGGGAACCTGACCCAAGACTGCCATTTTTTTCTCCCCCAATGCCTAGCACCCTTGAACCTCCATTTACTGGAAAAAGCACTTTAGGGAAATGTGCAGCAGGCATAGACGTTCAGCAACTCCACCCAAATACTTCTTTTTGTATTATATATTACCTACACTCCCTGCTTTACAAGTGATTGAGGGAGGTCTGCATTTCAAGTTTCAGGCCTGCCACCATCCCAAAATTTAGGCCTCAAGCTCCAGATCTGCAGAAACCAAGACTCTACACTTTTGTAGTTAAGCAACACTGTGGCCTAAGCAAGTTTGTACTACATATAAACCTTCTGCCTTCTGGACACAGAGCTTACAAGATAACAGGAAAACGTGAGAATGGAAAGGTTCTTAAGGCTGCCTGGGTAATTTTAACTTGAGCGTAGCGCTTCCAAAACCAGCAATCCTCAGGCTGTACTAGAATATCCTAAAATAGCTGAACTGGACAAGTGGTGAAAAATTGTTGCAAGTATGTACAGGTTTATTTTTATTGCAAAAGGGTGGCAACTATGTATAACAAGTGACTTGCCAAACATAATGCAAACTTCCTTTCATGGGATACACTTAGGCCAGCTAGCCCCACTGAATTTAGGGGGACTCTGTATAGGATTCCACTATCAGAAAATGAAATTTTATACGTATGTGTGTGGGTGTGTGCTGGGGGAGGACTTTTCCACTGGTTATTATTTGAAACTGGTAAAACTCTCATGTAGGAACAAATATGCAACGCACACAACATTATCTACATGCAGCTTGCAAGTTATAAAAACACAGAGAAGTTGTCAAATGTGATCAATTCGTCTTACTTGAAGAAACCTTTACACTAATCCAAGTTTTCTTCCATAAATCTGTCAATCACACTCAGCTTAAAAACTCCTACAAGGATTCCTGGCCATTGGATTAAGAAAGGAACAACTCCCTCAACTACTGATGGGGGAAGAACAGCTCACACACAAAACAGCTCAAACCAAGATGACTCATTTGTATTTTAAAAGCTGCTATTTTTCCAAAGTAGAAAGCGGAAAACTAATACAGAACTCAAACTGTACTTGGAAAACAAATAACATCCCCCAGTTTAGGGAAGGAGCAGCAGCTGCTTAGCAATATTTAAGAGTAGGACGAGTTGTCATAATCCACCAGGAAACAAGGGGGTGGGGACACAAGTGAAAGTAAATTGTTCCTTGGCTATAAAATTTTCAAAGACATATATTTAAAAAGTCTATTGTGGGCATTTCATAATTGGTTAACATTACTCTCTTGCCCATCTAACTCATTTTTGAGAGGAAGTTTTCGCTGAAGGCAAAAAGAAGTGACTGTAGTTCTGGAAGATGTGATGTGTCTGCAGTTAGCAAACACCACATTTAGATTTATACATTCACAAATTCATTGATACTTTTATACTTTGGAACTACCAAGTCTCACCCTCTTATACATTTGGTTTTGCTTCTCTGGTATTTTATGGGTACTCCGTGTGTGTGTGTGTGTATATACACACACGGGGGGGGGCTTTCAAGAGAAAATAAACATATAAATATTATAAAGAATAAATAAATGGGGTGTTAGAATCAAGATCTGATAATCACACATTTGTCTACTGGTTTGCAGTCCTGGACTGCTAAATGTGGATGAAGCTGACCTGAAATGGGGAACAGTCATAGCTCAGTAGCAGGACATCTGCCTTGCATGCCAAAGGTACCTAGGTTCAGTCTCCATTTAAGGTTTGGGAAGACTTCCTGTCTGAGAGCTTTGAGAGCTGCTCTAAGTCAGTGTGGACATTACTGAATTAAGCGGATCATCAGTCTGATTTGGCATAAAGCAGCTTCCTAGTTTCCTGTCATATTTTATTCCACTACATATATATCTAGACCTGGTCTAAGCAAACAACTCAAGTGTTTTGCAGACTGATATCCACTTGTACACAATTCTGTATGCAGGAGATGATCTGCCACATTGCCAGGAGTGATGTTTCAACTAGGCATTTTATTATATAATAGCAATTTGCTATTATAAGTAACGTTAAAGGTCTAGAACACATCCAGCCACTTTACAAACTGCAATCTTATACATCTTTGGTTGGGAACCTCTGGCACTTGTGCCTAATCGGCCTGTCTGGCTTCTGGCTTTGGGTCATAAGGCCCAGCCATATCCACTTTTCCTGCACCTTACAACATATGACGCAATTCTCAAAGTGGCATGCAGAAAATTGACTACTTTGGGATCTGGTCCACTATACACATGTACTTGGTAATAAGTCTCATTGAACCAACAAGGCTTACACCTGCAGAGAATTACACTGGTGTGATACTATTTATTAATATTGTGGTAAACTACAGCAGAAGTGGGCAGAAGGTAAACCTGGATCTACTGCTAGATCTCTGAGTGGTTTACAATAGATCAGTAAAGATTTCTGACTCCCAACTATTTCACAATAGCAGGAACAAATTTATTCCCCTCTTCCCAAACTACACTGCTGAAATAACAAAAGCTTGGGGTCTGCATGACTAGATTTGTGTGTGGTGCTCATAACAAACTGTTGGACTGAGAATTCTTTAATTCTAAGTGTTTATCTTTTGCATGTCAGGCTTTGGTTCTTGGATCTCAGGGATCTAGGGGGGAAAAACACCTCACAAAGTAGAACCTGCAAGCCTGAAGCCTGCACACCTAAACTTACAGAGAAGTTTATGACTGTGTGTTTAAAGCCCTACATTAATCATAAGTATCTGAAGCTGAAGGTAGCCCAGAAGGAAAAGCCCACTCCAAATGGTTTTGTTAACACCTAGAACTCTAGCCGATGATGAAGTACAGCATCACTGCTCTCATAATGTAGATTTCTTTTGTTTTGCATTCAGCATCTTAAAAGCTTTACCCTAATGAGTAACAAACCAAACATCATATAACCTCGACTTCCATTATACAAAGCCTATTAAAAATGTTGGGGAGGGAGCATTATGTACTAAATTTATTATGTACTTTATTCATGATTGTTATCGCCTAGAGCCATTTTTTAAATATATCATTTAGTTGTAATTTCAAAAGATCTAAAAAAAAGTCAGTGATGCTAATGGGTTTATATAATTTAATACTTATTTGGAAGGCACTGTTACATTCCAACATATGCTTTGAAAAACTCAAATTACCACTCAGGCCATAGCAATTTCAGCTCACATGTATTTCATTCACTCTTCATTAGCCACCTCCCACCTCTAGGCGCCCTCTCAAAAGTTACTGTAGTAAAGTGTCCCCTTCCTTTCTTGGCTACTGCTGAATTTATATAGCTGGCCTTATAATGCTTAGAGAGCTGATCATCCTTTAGGGTAGGTCACAGCTGACAACATGGTGGCATGAAGAAGCTACAGGAGATGATTTGTGTATAATTTATACTTAAGCTGCTAGGCAGCACTTTTATTTTGCACAGAAGATATAGCCCAATAATGATGTTCACAATAAAGAAAGTTTCTGAAGTCTGGCTAATAAAACTGTGAAGATTAATTTCCAAAGAATTGTAACTTTAAACAGGTGGGTCACGTTTTGAAAGCAGGGTGACATAGAATGAAACAGATAAGGCATACAAACAAATGCAAAAAACAAGCTTTTTGTATCTCCTTAAAAGGATCAAAATTGCAATCTCTTGATGTTTACAAAGTTAAAGGCCTGTAATAGCAAAGAGATGTAATTTGTAGGAAATGGTTTAATGAAAGCAATGCTTTATTAATGTATTGCTTGACCATTTAAACACACAATATCCACATGAGGCTATGATTTCGTTGTTGCAGGTTCTATCCAACTCCTTCAAAATGGCTTGAGATAGATAACAGTTTAAGGTGACACATAACAGAAATACACACACTGTTATGTGGACTGTCTCAGGACTATGGTGTGGTAAGGAAAAGTTAGGAAACTCCTCCTTGAACACCATTGTCCCAATTCTCACTCACAGCAAACCATTTTTTAAAAAAGATTCACGCAGTGCTAAACTACCTATTTAGTTGGTCTCTAGAACATGTAGTTGGTCTCTAGAACAACTTGGAATACTTTTCCAGTATTGGATCAGAAATGTCTCCAGGTTCACCTGACTTTCCAACACATGCTCACATATACATTACATGGCCCTTACAGTTACATTGATTACAACTTTGAAAATGAGAAATTTGATCAACACTGTATCCATTCATTGTATTATTACAAATGGAAATTTTGTTATGCAACAGAGTTTTGTAAAAAAAAAAAAAAAACCACACACACCCTCCATTGGAAATATAAACATTCATATTGTAATATAAAAACTATGTATTTTTATACATGCATGCGTAGTTGATTTTCTGTTACTTTAGCATCAAGTTTTCAGAGCACACTTAGAAACTAACACAAATTGTATGTAAACCATTGTTTTCTTAAGTCATTTTATGAGTCTGATCCTAACAAATTCTGATATAAATTAAAGAGCTTTAGCCCAAATAGTGTACATCAATATGGGTCAACTTCTTTATCAGGCTGGGAAGAATTCACTTATTCCATTGATGCAACAAGAGTGACCATTATTGACCAGTAACTGTGTCATTCTTTAAAACCAGCCCATATCCATTTTGTGTGACATGATGACACCACATCATGAGAAGGTCTACGCCAGCTATTGGTCTGAAGCAGGCTTGCTTACCAACTGCTATCTATATGGAGCACAGGCGGTGTTATTTGCCTCCATACTATAGTGTCTAGAGCAGGAATAGGCAAACTTGGCCCTCCATATGTTTTGGGACTACAACTACCATGATCCCTAGCTAACAGGACCAGTGGTCAGGGATGATGGGAATTGTAGTCCCAAAACATCTGGAAGGCCGAGTTTGCCTATGCCTGGTCTAGAGTATTGAGTTTGAATGTGGGAAATTAAAGTTCAAATCCCTGTTCAACTATGAAGTTCACCGGGTGAACTTGGGCAAGCCACTTTCTCTCATCCTAAGATACTTTAGATCTGTAGCAAAGCTAAAATGCTGAACGAATTTTTTCAAGAGGAAGAAAGCATACAAAAACTTATAAAGCAGCTCCAGAGACAGCTTATGCTGTAAATTGTCTAGTTGCAGACATGCTGCCCATCCGCAAAGTCAATATTGTATGTGGATAAATAGTCCATGAATGTTGACTTGGCCTACTATGAAGATACTATTTGCTGCAATTAACAAGTGCTTTGGTAGGCAGGGTTTTCTCCTGTTTGTGCTGTGATTTTGAGAAGGTAAGAGCAACAAAATCTCTTCTTACCTACTCCAAACCTCAGCAAAAATGAGAATTCTGGATGGCAACCTGTGAGCTTCTGGCTTTTTGTTCACCAAAAAGACCAGAGCAATTACAACTGGCAGGCAGATGTGTCAACACCTGCACATTACTAAAGCTTCACTAGTAGCAGGGGTCCACCGTTCCACTCCCCACGCTCACCATGAGTGTTTCATCACCCTCTGGCAATGGTGATGAGGAGACAAAGCAAACAAATAAGAATCATAAACAGCTGTAGAAACAGGCCCAACATGAAAAAAGACAGCTGCACAAGCAGTTATTTCCCGCTGCCTTTGCTGCATATCAAGAAACCACCCTCTTATCTAAAAATCTACCGGGGGGGGGGGGAACACCCACAAAATTATATACACTAACCCCACAAGTATGAAATTTAAAATCCTCTGTTGTGTAATTCTGCAATTTCTTTTTACAGCTCACTAGCATCAAGTTAGAGGAAGTTGTGGCTGGGCATTTTGGTGGTGGGCCACTTACGCACTTGGAGCAGTTCCATCACCTGCTGCCAAAACAAGTCCCAACTTTCACTAGAACTCCGGAGGGGAACATATGCGCTGTTTGCCAACCAACCAAACCTTCATCTCCCTGGCTCCAGCTTCCAAAACCCAACACACTAATGCTGGAATAAACCCCACCTAGCACAGTGAAAGTTTATTTTGAATAAACATGCATGAGATTGCATTGAAGAGGGACACAATCCTGACTCGTGTTAGCAAGGCAATCCAACTTTGTGGATCCTAACAGGTAGTCTCCGGGAGCATAATCTGTTAAATCTGATCAGGGGGCCCATCTAGCCCTGCCTTTCTAACTGTAGCCAGTCAGCTACTTCCAGGAAGCTTATAAGCAGAGAATACAGGAGACAGTCCTCTCTTGATTGTCTCCAATATCCAGAGTTTGATGGAGAAGGTCTCTTGCTTCACTCCTTGCGTTTAATAGGTTTTTCAATTAAATCATCTGTTTCTGACAAGTGTTGGTTTATGCAACGGCTTCAACATAACACCAGTAGTGAGAAGTACTAGGAAATTTCCTCGAGCCAGTGCAGTTGTAATGCTCTTGTATCTTAGTGGGTTTTTCTTTTCAAAATCAAATGTTCTTTCCCCACCAGTCCATCTACTCACATGAGCATGTTTCATACTCTAGTTTTAATCACTTAACACTAATCATGGTTTGCTAGCAAAGTTCCAACCCCAGCTAAAACAGTGGCTAGTATTAATCATGTCTGTTAGCAACCATTAACCCTGGTTAAGATCTGGCAGGGAAGGGAATCAAGCATGGAGCCCCACAGCCTGTTCCCTCTTAACCACGGTTCACATTGAACAGAACACCTTAGTACAGAGGTTGCTAGTAAGTTCTCACATTTGTTCCTCATTTTCCACTGCCACCACTATATTTATCTGTTAGACATGGGTTTATATTCCAAAAACAATGTAAACTGTACACAGTTCTGTTTTATGTAGACTGGTCTCTTTAGTAACAGGACTCCCTATTACAAGAGCATGTACAAGGAGCATGATGAACAAGACGAACGGTTTGGAAACCTGAAAAATCTGAAAGCTTCCTCACTATAGAAGGAAAAGGATTATCCAACATGGATGAATGCGTTAACTAACAGCATTAAATTGGTTTCAAAATAACGGCTTTCTTTTTTATATGATGGTGATGATGAGTATGAATGGTATGAGGGAAATCACAGAATTAAAACAAATAAACAAAAATGAAAAGGATATCAAACCCCTACACAGCAGGATACTCTAGCCATCATGACAAAGATTATTACCTATTAGCCACACCACACAAGCAGAGAATTGGAGCAGACACCATACACTACAGTAAAAGAGATAGCTACAACAACTTGAAAAATAAATCTGCAGCCATGAGGAAGATTATAATCTTTATTATTTTTCAGGTGACTACATTTGTACCACCAGGTTTATTTCATGTCCTTTTTTTTTAAGGACTGCCCATTGCATTTCATGCCACCACACATTGAGCGCACAGTCAATGACTTCTTTCATGCTTCACTGGTCTAAAACGCCCCTTAAATTCTGAAGTTTTGACCATCCACCTTGATCTTGGTTCAAGCCTTGCTTTTGCTGAAGGAAAAATGAAAACAGTTTGACCTGGTTTTTGAACTGGAGGGCAACGTTCAATGCATGTTATGGGTAGGATCTTTACATCCAAACTGGTACACCTTATTGCTTTCCCTGACCATTTCTAGCTGTTTCAGCGCAAAACACCTTAAACAAAAAGTCTCCAAATCAATCATTTTAATCCAGAGTTTGAAGGATGTTTACACCAGCCTCTTCCAAAAAACACAAATTCCTCAGTGCCCAAATTGCCAAGATTTCAAAACCATCCTACTAAGTTCAGTAAAGGTCTGCCTCCCTAGAGCTTGGACTTGGCCCAAACTCTAGCTGGCAGAGGAACAACAAGGTTACACGAGTTGCACTCAACACCAATTGGAGTAGAGACAAAACACAGAGAGGCACAAAAATGCATTCCACTTCAATAGCTATAGTGATGTCTTAATTTACTGCTGGACTGAAGCAAAACAGTTAAGTGAAGAGGTTCAAGGTGCTACACCAGAGCAGCAACCCGAGTCTACACTGGCACAATGCTGAAAGGAATATTACAGGAAAAATTTAAAACAAAACAGCTTGCCCATTTTGTATGCAACCATTAGGACAGTATTGTGTACCCATAGAGAACAGTTTCTCACCTTTATCCTGAGAGCAAGACAGGATTTCTTCCTCTTTGGGGTTAGTCACCTGGGTGATAATGGACGGGTTGTCCATGGAAACAGAGTGCGTTTTCACCTGGCTATTTCCCTCCCAGAGGCAGGTTCGGTGTGCGTTTATGGGTTCCTTTTTATTCGTTTTCCTTTTAGGAAATCTAGAGGCAGACTTATGTGTGAAAAAAGAACTCCTCCAGGAACGAAGCCAAAAAAATATGTTATAGAAGGCAGCACGCATACAGGTCTCTTCTGTAGTGCCTTGTCCTCTTTCCTTCTTCAAAGAACGGAGGGAGTTAAAAAAAGATGGGGGAGGAGGGAACCCCAAATCCAAAGACTACCCCACCTAAAGCAAAACCCTGTACCACTCTGAGTTAAAGAAAAAACCCAGTGCCACTCCAAATCCCTACTCCAGGCACAAAAATACCCGCCTCGACAGCAACCTCAGGACAGCAGTAGAGAAAATACAGATACGGGGTCTTGGCGGCGGCTCACCTTCGCACCCCCAATTTGTCCTATGCCTCCTAAATGGCTGCCCTGAGCTGATCCCTTAAAAAAACCCACCCCACTCGCACTCACCCCAAAGCCAAGGCTTTGTATTACCCCTCCCCCCAAAAACCCAATTCAAAACACCCTACATGTAACCCCCCCAAACCGTGCCACTGATCTATCATTTCCCCCCAAAATCCCCTTGCCCAAAAAAAGAGGGTTCAGACCCCCCTCCTCATCTGGAGGCAGCACCTTCCTGCCCCCCCCCTCTATTTAGATCCCTAAACTTACCTACCTCCCCCCTCCCGCCAGAAGAAAAAAAAATGCCCCTTTCCAGGAGGAGGAGCAAGAGGTGCTCCCCACCCCACCCAGAAAGAGCCCTCCCCCCTCCCCTCCCGTGCCCCCTCCCCTAATCAAGCCCCCACCCGCCCTGTCCTCCCCCCTTCCCCCCTCCCCTCGGGGATTATCTCATCCCTCCTTCGCCTCCTTCCCCGACGCAGCTCTGAGGGGGGGGGGAGTCCGAGGGAGGGGGGAGGAGGAGGAAAAAGGGGGGGGGAGAAGAAGAAGAAGAAGAAAACGGGGGAGGGAGAAGGGGAGGCAGCGCCTGCGGAGGAGGCCGGTCTCCGCGCTGCGCCACAGCAGCAGCAACAGCAGCAGCAGCAGCAGCCGCCTTCCCGCTCGCCTTCCCTCCTCGCTCGCCTGTCAGCGCCAGTCCCAGGCGCCGCCTCCTCCGCCTTCCCTCCCCTCAGCGCCCCACAGGCTTCGCCCGCCCCCGCTGCCTTCCCCTCAGGCCCGCCGCGCGCGGGACAGCAGCCGCCTCAGCCTCCTCCTCCTCCTCCCGTCCTCCTTGCGGCGGCGGCGTCTTCCCCTCAGGCAACAACATGGAGGCGGGAAGGAGAGCGGGCGCCTCGCGCCGGGCGGGAGGGGGGGGGGCGGTTTGAACTGCGCGCGCCCGCCCGACCCGTTTCTCCCTCCCTGCCTGCCTGAGCGGTAAACAACGGGGCGTGGCCCAGCGCTGGCTGTCCGTCAAGGCGGGGGAAGGGGCTGGCCCGTCCAACCGGGGTGGGCGTTAGGGGCGGGGCTTGCGCTGATTACGTCCGAGGGGTGGGTGGACGGGGGGGGGGGTGACAGTCCTCCATATAAGGGGCGGGGGCGGGGCTTGAGCTGATTGCGTTATTGGGCCGAGGGGCGTGTTCGATCCCCGAAAAGGGCGGGGGGAATGAGTGGCGTGGGCGGGGCTTGCTTCTGATTGCGTTCTTGGGCCGAGGGGCGTGTTTGATCCTCGAAAGGGGCGGGGAAAATGAGTGGCTTGGGCGGGGCTTGCGCGGATATTGGGGACACGCTGCCTACTGCAAAGTGGGTGGTCTCGTTCAAGGGGGGGGAGCGTGTCTTGTCTGGGGCGGGGGGTGATGCGCCGCACAGGTTGGCAGCATACACACCCCAAGAGTCCTGGGGGACTTAAGGGCGCTGGGAATTATAGCTCTGGAGGGGCGAACTACAGTTCCCACTACAACACAGGAATCCTGGGGTAATGGTTTCAGGGTATTAGGAATTGTAGCTCTGGGGAGGTGCGAACTACAGTTCCCAGGAATCTTTGGGGCGGGGGGGAGGTTTGCTTTAAATTTATGATGTGTGCACAGCAAGTGGGTTTGCTCTCACCACTGACTGGTCCCTTCATCGCCCACTATCAAGCAATGCCTGATTTACGACTGTGCTTCTGAGCATGCACAGAATGTATTTTTTAAAAAAAACATTCTTCCCAGACTGTGTAGCATTAGTAGATTAACTACCGGTAATCAGATTCCAATTAGTCCAACAATCCGTTTAAATAATTTTAGTTGATTAACCAATGTAGATTTTTCAGTTTCGTTGTTCTGTCTGGGACAATGACAATAAAGATTATCGTATCGTATTGTAATCTGTATATTTAATTTGCATATTGGTAAAAAAAACGAAACACCAAAAAATATTTTGTAGTAAGTATCCCTTTCAGAAGAAAAATTCCTATTTTGAGACTAGGGAGAATATCTCTTCTAAAATGGAGCTTATTTTCTGCAGTTTTCATGAACAAGTTTAAAATACTGTGCATATGTTACCCAACTAATCAGGTGGCACACCATTTTATTGGATTAAAGGTAAAGGGACCCCTGACCATTAGGTCCAGTCGTGACTGCCTCTGGGGTTGCGGTGCTCATCTCGCTTTATTGGCAAAGGGAGCCGACGTACCGCTTCCGGGTCCTGTGGCCAGCATGACTAAGCCGCTTCTGGTGAACCAGAGCAGCGCACGGAAACGCCGTTTACCTTCCCACCGGAGTGGTACCTATTTATCTACTTGCACTTTGACGTGCTTTCGAACTGCTAGGTTGGCAGGAGCAGGGACCGAACAACTGGAGCTCACCCCATCGCGGGGATTCGAACCGCCGACCTTCTGATCAGCAAGTCTTAGGCTCTGTGGTTTAACCACAGCGCCACCCACATCCCTTTTTATTGTATTAGAAGCTTTTAAATCAGTTAATCTAGCCAATTGCAGCCCTAATTTAAATATATTTGCATACCAGGTAAAAGCTCAGTATAAAAGATACTCAAGGTATATAGTAGTATAAGCTGTTTTTCATTTTCTTTTGGGTTCTAGAATTTTTCAGAGAATGAAAAAAGTTCTGCTCTCATCAGGAAGAGAGGACTTTCAAAGCAGGTGTGTTGAAACTGGCCTTCCAGGTGTTGTTGGACTGCAACTCCCATAATCCCTGGCCATTGATCATGGTTTCTGGGGGTGATGGGAGTTGTAGTTCAGCAACATCTGCAAGGTCGCCGCCCCCCCCCCCCCCCGTTTTAAAAAGAATATCAGCATTCAGCAGACACAGTTGCTTTGAGTTGTAGGACAGACCTGATGGGGTGGGGGAAAGGAATAATTAAAATTCCTGACATGACTTCAAAATACGTGACGTTTTCGTATTTTAAAAAATGCGTTCTTTCGACATTATGTTGAAATGAAGACACCTGCAATACTGCCTGAGGGAAGAGGCTGCTTTATTATTTCCCAGGCCCTTTTCTCTGTCCAGGTGTGTCTGTTGGCAGTCATCAACCGAGTGAAACTCTCTCTGTGTGTCTCAATAATACTTCAAAACATTTCTTTTTCTCTTCCATAGGCTTTGAGTAAACCTCTGTGCGAGGATTCTTTGTTATTCTCTGTGCTTTTTCTTTTTAACGTTGACAGAGGGGATGATCCTGCTCGTTCCCAATTAATAATTGACAGTTAATTCGGTTTAGTTAGGAGAATTTCTAAAACGAAGCCTAGGACTGGAGCATGTGCAGTAGCACACACCATCCAGTTCGTGCCCTGGGAAAACACTGTGCAAAACTAATCTTGATATAACCGCACGTACAATTACATCCTAAGGGCGCAGCTGCAAATGTTTTCTTTTGGGGTGGATCCTCAGTTGCACTTTAGCAAACCGAGCCCTCCCCACCTCAAGCAAATTCCTCAGGAATAGTCTGAATATCCACATGGTACTTTTGGGGAATCCCAGGCTATGCATTCCACTCCAGAGATGGAAGGATATCTTTTGATCTGTTCTCTAACTTCTTCTTCTTCGGCGATCACTTGTAGCCAACTAAGATTGTCTTCCATAAACACGGTTTTAACAATGAGCCCGTAGGTGTCTGTGGAGGCCAATTCTGGATCCACACATCCTTCCACAGTGGGGACATTGGTTTCCGGGCAGGAGTTGATCACGGTGTGGATTTGCCAAGCGTGCCTTCCTCTTAGCACGTTTCTCCCTTGCGCCCTGAGTTCGAGTGTCTTCGAAGCCCATGACACCTTTGGTAAAGGCTGTTCTCCATCTGGAGCGCTCGCAGGCCAGTGTTTTTCCAGTTGTCGGTGTTTATACTACATTTTTTAAGATTTGCCTTGAGACAGCCTTTAAACCTCTTTTGTCGAGTGTTCTCTAACAGCTCTGAACTAGTCTCCCATCTTGCACAAGCTTTGCAGATCAAGACTGGTGGAAAGGCTGGTGTCTTTCACCATTTGATTTGATTTGCTTCACCTAAGCTTAGGGGTGCTCTGTAACTGTCGCTCCCAGGCCCATCTGGCCTCAGTGGTGCCTTCTGTCAGCTTCAGCTGGTGGCCCAACTATGCCCCTATCTGGACAGGGATAGCGTAACTTCTGTGGCCTCACTCTGGTAACCTATAGGGTGGGTCACTGCAATGCATCACCTCTGAAGACGGTTCAGAAACTTCATCTAGTCTTGAGATTCCTGCTTTTCAGGGGGTTGGTCTAGATGACCCCTGGGGTCCCTTCCAACTCTACCATTCTACGATTCTAAACAGGGCTGGTGAGGGGGCATGGCCTGCCGAGAGTGGGTGTCGCTCAAGAGGAGGATGTTGGCTGGAGAGAGAGAGCCCTGGGGGCTTAATTTGAGCTCCAGGCCTGAGATTATCTATCCCTCTTTTACACACACATGCACTCCTTCTCCAGACAAGCAAGAGGTATTATTTGTTAAGTCAGACGACACAGCGATTCTTCAGACAGCTCTTGTTTATTCACAGACCAGAACAGAACTGAACTGAAAGGTTCAGCCAACCTGCTTATATAGAGCTCAACTACAAAGCAACAGTAACAACTTTCTGTAACTATCCAATCACTGAACGTCACTTTCAATTCCTTATTTGCATATGCGGACCTGAGTGGAAACTATCTACAGTATCCCCCTGCTGGCCCAGGGTGAGAACTTCAGTACATAACATTATTGTAGATCTGGGACACATACCACCCAGGGAAAAACACCTGAGGAATGTGAGTAGCAGGACCAGAGAGAATATGGCCTCCTGTTTTCCCTCCTTTCCCTTCATGCTTGGAACTCCTTCCTAGACACCATAAAAAAACAAAACATTTTGCTCGCAAAAACCTTGCTCATGACCAATTCTTCCTAGTTTCATGAACGATGTACCCTGAAATGTTGTATCCCCTAGTATTATGTATAAATTACTAGAATTTTTTTGGAGGGGGGCTACAAAATACAGGTATACTTTAGATGTTGCTCCAGTGTATGAGGTTCCCAAGTTCCATAGCTGCCAACTTTCCCCCTTTTTTAAGGGAAATACCCTTATTCACGAATAGGATTCCTCGCAAGAAAAGGGAAAAGTTGACAGCTATGTTCCCAACACATGCACGCGCTAGGTCTAGATATCGAAGAACGATGGGTCTGGCTCACACAAGAGGCCTAGAAGGAGCTCCCTCTCGGTCAGAAGCCTCTATCTGCTTGTAGTAGCTGTTGGTTCTAACAGCTGCTACAGTCAGCCGGAGTCCCGTTTGCAGCGACATCCAGTTTGGTAGTCCCTGGCGCTGCAAGAAAAATCCACGCACTGCCAATTTCCACACTACTTTTGTACGTGCAGGCTAGAGCGCATTCCTCCCGCGTCATGTCGGTGCAGCGTGCAGGAATGCCACTGTTTTCCTTTTCCCCAAAAAGTATTGAAAATACATCTGGAGACAAAAAAGAGTTATTTGTCGCTTCTCAGAAGAGCTGCCCTTTCTGAGCAACTCCGTGTGGTACCTGTTGCGACAAGATTTGTTTTCGATTTTTTATTTAATTTTCCAGCTTGAGTTTCCAGACACCTCCCTAGCCTGCTTTAACAGCCGGGGAGAGCTGGCTTTCAGCGATGTGCTGTGGCTTGCTTCCCAGTGCCGCGGGGCATGTTTGTACCCGCGACGTAGCC